AACCGAGGAGGACATCAACTAATGTAACCTCCCGTTGAATCCCCGGCGTTTGCTCCTGAACACGCTGCTTGGTCCTATTTTGGTGGGATCTTCTGTCACGATCGTTCATGAACGAGAAGGACCAAGGCGCAGCGTGATATGCATTCATATTTATTAACGACTAAACACACGACAAAACAACAAACGAAACGTGAAGTCCAAGGTAGCATACAAACAACATACCTTTACGGAACAAGATCCCACAACTAACAGGTGCCAAAAGGCTGCCTAAGTATGGTCCCCAATCAGAGACAATGAGCGACAGCTGCCTCTGATTGGGAACCACACAGGCCAACATAGATCTAGACATACTAGAATCTAACAGACAATCAACATAGCCAAACACAACACAGAAAATACACACCCTATCTGTCACGCCCTGACTCAAGGGACTTGTATTTGTTGAGTCAGGGCGTGACAGATATTGATACTTTTGTACCTGTTTCCTCCAGCATCTTCAAAAGGTCCTTTGCTGTTGTTCTGGGTATTGATTTGCACTTTTTGCACCAAAGTATGTTCATCTCTAGGAGACAGAACGCGTCTCCTTCCTGAGCGGTATGACGGCTGTGTGATCCCATGGTGTTTATACTTGTGTACTATTGTTTGTACAGATGAACGTGGTACCTTCAGGCATTTGGAAATTGCTCCCAAGGATGAACCAGACTTGTGGAGGTTTACCATTTTTTTTCTGAGGTCTTGGCTGATTTCTTTTGATTTTCCCATGATGTCAAGCAAAGAGGCACTGAGTTTGAAGGTAGGCCTTGAAATACATCCACAGGTACACCTCCAATTGACTCAAATGATGTCAATTAGCCTATCAGAAGCTTCTAAAGCCATGACATAATTTTCTGGAATTTTCCAAGCTGTTTAAAGGCACAGTCAATTTAGTGTATGTAAACTTCTGACCCACTGGAATTTTGATACAGTGAATTATAAGTGAAATAATCTGTCTGTAAACAATTGTTGGAAAAATTACTTGTGTCATGCACAAAGTAGATGTCCTAACCAACTTGCCAAAACTATAGTTTGTAAACAATAAATTTGTGGAGTGGTTGAAAACAAGTTTTAATGACTCCAACCTAAGTGTATGTAAACTTCCGACTGTAAAGCGCTTTGGGTGTCTAGAAAAGCAGTATATACAGTGCATTTGGAAAGTATTCACACCACTTGACTTTCTCCACGTTTTGTTACGTTACAACCTTATTCAAAAATGGATATTTTTTTAAATAATCCTCATCAATCTACACAAAATACCCCATAATGACAAAGCAAAAACAGTTTTTTATAATTCTTTTGCAAATGTATTAAAATTAGAAAACAGAAATAACTTATTTACATACGGTTTCAGACCCTTTGCTATGAGACACAAAATTGAGCTCAGGTGCATCCTGTTTCCATTGATCATCCTTGAGATTTTGTACAACTTGATTGGAGTCCATCTGTGGTAAATTCAATTGATTGGACATGATTTGGAAAGGCACACACCTGTCTATATAAGGTCACACAGTTGACAATGCATGTCAGAGCTAAAACCAATCCATGAGGTCGAAGGAATTGTCCGTAGAGCTCCGAGACAGGATTGTGTCGAGGCACAGATCTGGGGAAGGGTACCAAAACATTTCTGCAGCATTGAAGTTCCCCAAGAACACAGTGGCCTCCATCATTCTTATATGGAAGATGTTTGGAACCACCAAGACTCTTCCCTAGAGCTGGCCACCCGGCCAAACTGAGCAATCGGGGGAGAAAGGCCTTGGTCAAGGAGGTGACCAAGAACCCAATGGTCACTCTGACAAAACTCCAGAGTTCCTCTGTGGAGATGGGAGAAACTTCTAGAAGGACAACAATCTCTGCAGCACTCCACCAATCAGGCCTTTCTGGTAGAGTGGCCAGACGGAAGCCACTCCTCAGTAAAAGGCACATGACAGCCCGTTTGAAGTATGCTTAAAGGCACCTAAAGACTCTCATACCATGAGAAACAAAGATTCTCTGGTCTGATGAAACCAAGATTGAACTCTTTGGCCTGAATGCCAAACCTCAAATCTGGAGGAAACCTGGCACCATCCCTACGGTGAAGTATGGTGGTGGCAGCATCATGCTGTGGGGAGTTTTTTAAGCGGCAGGGACTGGGAGACTAGTCAGGATCGAGGGAAAGATGAACGAAGCAAAGTACAGAGAGATCCTTGATGAAAACCTGCTCCAGAGCGCTCAGGACCTCAGACTGGGGCGAAGATTCACCTTCCAACAGGACAACGACACTAAGCACACAGCCAATACAACGCAGGAGTGGCTTCGGGACAAGTCTCTGAATGTCCTTGAGGCCCAGCCAAAGCCCGGACTTGAACCCGATCAAACATCTCTGGAGAGACCTGAAAATAGCTGTGCAGAAAATAGCTCCCCATCCATTCTGACAGAGTGTGAGAGGATCTGCAGAGAAGAATGGGAGAAACTCCCTAAATTCAGGTGTGCCAAGCTTGTAGTGTCATACCCAAGAAGATTCAAGGCTGTCATTACTGCCAAAGGTGCTCCAACAAAGTACTGGGTAAAGGGTCTGAATACTTATGTAAATGTGATATTATTTTTTATATATTTTTTTATACATTTGCAAAACTTTCTACAAACATGTTTTTGCTGTGTCATTATGGGGTATTGTGTGTAGATTGATGAGGGAAAAAACAATTTTATCCATTTTAGAATAAGGCTGTAACTTAACAAAATGTGGAAAGATTAAAGGGGTCTGAATACTTTCCGAATGCACTGTAAGTCCAATCAATTATTATTATTTACAGTAGGGGTCATTGAATTGTGAGTGCAGGCAGCGAGCTATATAGGACACATAATTAATTTTAAGGCTGGTGATCAGCTCCCTCCTAATGCTACCCCATGTGGTCCTCTGTAGCTCAGCTGGTAGAGCAAGGCGCTTGTAATGCCAAGGTAGTGGGTTCGATCCCCGGGACCACCCATACACAAAAAAAATGTATGCACCCATGACTGTAAGTCGCTTTGGATAAAAGCGTCTGCTAAATGGCATATTATTATTATTATTATGGGATAGCCTCTTGTGTAAACAACATAGATTTTTGCTCTGAATACTATTGGCCAATGGCAACAGTATAATAATATCACTCAATAATTGCTTAATTACCCAATAAGGTGTAATTAACGAACATGAAATAATTATGAATTTATTTTACACAATGGGTGAACGCTGTCTTTTCAAATAGTTCATTTCATACATGAATTTCCTTGAGGACACTGACATGAATTTAAAACCATCTTAGCTTTGACACAACACAGTAGCAATGTTTTGTTACTGATGTTTAGTGGCAACTAGAATTGAAAATCAGCTTGGTCTCCTCTACAAAGACTTAAAACTAACTCATGATGACAGGCACAGAACATAGTGAATGTTTTCATGACAAGAGGAACACCTACGTGAGAATGCTATTCATTGACTACAGCTCAGCATTCAACACCATAGTGCCCTCAAAGCTCATCACTAAGCTAAGGATCCTGGGACTAAACACCTCCCTCTGCAACTGGATCCTGGACTTCCGGACAGGCCGCCCCCAGGTGGTAAGGGTAGGTAACAACACATCTGCCACACTGATCCTCAACACAGTGGCCCCTCAGGGGTGCGTGCTCAGTCCCTTCCTGTACTCCTTGTTCACCCATGATTGCATGGCCAGGCACGACTCCAACACCATCATTAAGTTTGCCGACGACACAACAGTGGTAGGCCTGATCACCGACAACGATGAGACAGCCTATAGGGAGGAGGTCAAAGACCTGGCCGTGTGGTGCCAGGATAACAACCTCTCCCTCAAGGTGACCAAGACAAAGGAGATGATTGTGGACTACGGAAAAAAAAAAAGGACTGAGCACGCCCCCATTCTCATCAACGGGGCTGTAGTGGAACAGGTTGAGAGCTTCAAGTTCCTTGGTTTCCACATCACCAACGAACTATCATGGTCCAAACACACCAAGAAAGTCGTGAAGAGGGCACGACAAAGCCTATTCCCCCTCAGGAGACTGAAAAGATTTGGCATGGGTCCTCAGATCCTCAAAAAATTATACAGCTGCACCATCGAGAGCATCCTGACTGGTTGCATCACCGCCTGGTATGGCAACTGCTCGGCCTCCGACCACAAGGCACTACAGAGGGTAGTGCGTACGGCCCAGTACATCACTGGGGCCAAGCTTCCTGCCATCCAGGACCTCTATACCAGGCGGTGTCAGAGGAAGGCCCTCAAAATTGTCAAAGACTCCAGCCACCCTAGTCATAGACTGTTCTCTCTGCTACCGCACGGCAAGCGGTACCGGAGTGCCAAGTCTAGGTCCAAAAGACTTCTCAACAGCTTCTACCCCCAAACCATAAGACTCCTGAACAGCTAATCATGGCTACCCAGACTTTTGCACTGCCGCCCCCACCCCCCACCCCCCACCCCATCTTTTTACGCTGCTGCCACTTTAACTCTACCCACATGTACATATTACTTCAACTACCTCAACTAGCCGGTGCCCCCGCACATTGACTCTGCACCGGTACCCCCCTGTATATATAGCCTCCCTACTGTTATTTTATTATACTTCTGCTCTTTGTTTCTCAACACTTTTTTGTTGTTGTTTTATTTTACTTTTTTATTAAAAAATAAATGCACTGTTGGTTAAGGGCTGTAAGTAAGCATTTCACTGTAATGTCTGCACCTGTTGTATTCGGTGCATGTGGCCAATAAAATTGGATTTTTATTTTATTTGAGGTGTTTATTAGTAGAAAGGAACACTGCTTTTTGTTTACTGATTATGTTGAACATGAAATTCATAATTAACCATTAGCACATTTGCAAGTATCTGTTGACAAATGCATATTTAGTGCTGCTGATTGAAATCAAGTTAGTAAATAATATCGAACCATGTAGTATAATGTAATTTGACCATCTTAACACTGTTGTTTTCTTTCAGGTGAAGGAGTGGCTGTGTCTGAACTGCCAGATGAAGAGAATGGAATCCCCAGGACTTCCCATGAAAAAAACCCCAACCTTCTCCCAACAACGGTTCTGCACCTCAGAAGACCACTGTCACACCCAGCACACCCCAAAAGAATAACACTCCAACACCAGGCTCCCCCCAGAGAAAACCTGCTACATCAGCAACACAGCCACCCAAAGTAGAGGTTGCTAAAGCAGCAGACGCTCAGAAACCTTCCAGCCCAGCTCCTGCTCAGAAGACACTACAGGAGAACCGGAGAACATCAGGGCCTCAGAAACCACCAGAGCAGCCAGGCCAACCTGGGCTTAAGCAGAGTAATGCTACCCCATCCACACAGCAGGAGTCTGGAAAGCCTCAGCAACAGCCTCCAAAAAGTGGAGCCTCTCTTGCCAAAGCTGTGCCACCAGAGGCCCAGCCCCCCAAAGAGGAGTCAGGGGGCTTCTTCGACTTTGGTGGTGCAAAATCTCAGCCTGTCCCTTCAAAGCCTGAAGAGTCAGTGTCTGGGAAGATGTTTGGCTTTGGCTCCTCCATCTTCAGCTCTGCATCCACTTTGATCACCTCAGCTGTTCAGGATGAGCCCCGCATCACACCACTAGCTTCCCCCAAGGTGTCTGCACTGGCCCAGACCTCTCCCAAGATGCCCCCTGCAAAGGAGACCAAACCACCTGCTGCTCAGAAAGCAGAGGAGAAGAAAGCAGAGCAACCCCAGCAGGCCAAGGTCCCCCCATCAGTACAGGCCAAAGTGGACAAACCCCCACCAGAGCCTCCAAAGGGAGCAGCATCCTCCCAACCAGCTCCCAAAGCAGGCCAGTCCACCTGTCCACTCTGCAAGGTGGAACTCAACAAGGGCTCCAAGGACCCTCCCAACTACAACACCTGCACGGAATGCAAGAACACTGTCTGCAATCTCTGTGGATTTAACCCCATGCCAAATGTTACTGAGGTAAAACAGCCAGAATCACTTTATTACTGTGTAAATGAATTATGACTGCTATATTTAAGCAATAAGGCACGAGGGGGTGTGGTATGTGGCCAATATACCACGGATAAGGGCTGTTTTTATGCACAACGCAACGCGGAGTGCCTGGATACAGCCCTTAGCCGTTGTATATTGGCCATATACCACAAACCCTGAGGTGCGCTATTGCTATTATAAACTGGTTACCAACGTAGTTAGAGCAGTAAAAATAAATGTTTTGTCATACCCATGGTATACGGTCTGATATACCATGGCTTTCAGCCAATCAGCATTCAGGGCTCGAACCACCCAGTTTATAATATCATTTAGAAAAGGCTCTCTCTTTTATAGAAAAGTTCAGAGAGCTAAATAATCTCTACACAAATCATCTAGAGGAAAATCGAAGAAATTCTGAAATTAAAATGTTATCTCTCAGATTTGAAATGTCTATTCGTTCTGATCAATGTATTTCAGTTCCAGAAATAACTTTTAGACATTGCACCGTTGGTCTGTTCATTACTTGTTTAGTCTCTCCTTATGCAAATACAGTAGGAACAACCAGTGTGACAAGGTTTTAGCCTGAGAGGAATAGTTTGGGATTTTAATATATTTCAATTTACTGACAATTTCTGGCTTTATAAAAGAGAGACAATGCAAAGTCTCACGTGAAGTGGTTATGGCTATTTCATTTCCTGAATTGTTCTTGACCCATATTAATTCTACCAACAGTAGCATGGTATTAGGCCTATATGGCGCAGCGGTCTAAGGCACTGCATCTCAGTGCTCAATGCTTGAGTGCTTGAGGTGTCACTACAGACCCCCTGGTTCGATTCCAGGCTGTATCACAACCGGCCGTGATTGGGAGTCCCATAGGGCGGCGCACAATTGGCCCAGCGTCGTCCGGGTTTGGCCGGTGTAGGCCGTCATTGTAAATAAGAATTTGTTCTTAACTGACTTGCCTAGTAAAATAAAAAATATGAATAGAAGTGGAATTTCAGATGGTTCAAATACATCTCTTTTACAGTGTGCTTTGCACAAATGCAATACACCAAATACTTAAACTGCAAGTTATGTTGAAGCTCAAACAGCAAGAATGATGTATCACAGTGTGCTGGACAATTTATGTCTCAGAGGGTAGGGAAGTGTCTGCTGATATCACTGCAGAAACATTTGCCTGTGCTGCTTTCCATCATACGTAGTTAGAGCTGTATAAGAAATGTATCAAATTCTGTATTCCTCTCACAATGTGAAAATGTTTAAGGTGAAGGAGTGGCTGTGTCTGAACTGCCAGATGCAGAGAGCACTTGGAGGAATGGAAGATCCAGAACATCCCATGATGAAACCCAAGCCTTCACCCAACAAAGTCTCTGCTCCTGCTACTCCTCAAAAGAAAGACACTCCAAAACCATCTGGTCCCCATAAAGTGGCCACTGCACCAGCCTCACCCAAAAAGGAGCCAGTGACTCGAGCCTCTCAGCCTGTCGCCTCAAAACCTGAAGAGTCAGTGTCTGGGAAGATGGTTGGCTTTGGCTCCTCCATCTTCAGCTCTGCATCCACTTTGATCACCTCAGCTGTTCAGGACGAACCACACACCACACTGCCAGCTTCCCCCAAGGTGTCTGCACACGTTGCATCTCAAAAGAAGGATACTCCCACACCTGCTGGTCCCCCAAAAGATATATCAACACCAGCGTCACCCAAAAAAGAGTCTAAAACAACAGCCACAGCCGCAAAGAAGGACACCCCAATGCCAGGCTCCCCAAAGAGAAAGCCAGACTCCCCCGCAGTGACTGCAAAAGAGGAACCAGAAACCTGCAGGCCCTCTAAATCAAGGAGACCCATCAGGGTATATGCAGGGGAGTGCTGCCCAACCACAGCAGCAGCCCACACAGCAGAAGACTCAACAACAAGTCCAACCTCAGCAGAACCCAGCAGGGGCACGTACAGCAGAGCCTGGGAACCCTCAGCAACAGCCTCCAAAACTTGGGACCTCTCCAGGACCTGCTGAGAAGGCACCACAAGAGAACCGGAGAACATCAGAACCTCAGAAACCACCACAGCAGCCTAGCCCTGGGCGTAGGCAAAGCAGTGGCATTCCATCTACACAGCAACACCCCAAGCTGGAGTCAGGAGGTGTATTTGGCTTTGGTGGACCCAAATCGCAGTCTGCCTCTTCAAAGCCTGAGGAGTCAGTGTCTGGGAAGATGTTTGGCTTTGGCTCCTCCATCTTCAGCTCTGCATCTTCGTTGATCACCTCAGCTGTTCAGGACGAGCCCCGCACCCCACCGCCAGCTTCTCCCAAGGTGTCTGCAGCAGCCAAGGCCTCTCCCAAGATGCCCCCTGCAAAGGAAACCAAACCACCTGCTGCTCTGAGATCAGAGGAGAAGAAAGCAGAGCAACTCCAGCAGGCCAAGGTCCCCCCATCAGTACAGGCCAAAGTGTACAAACCCCCATCAGAGCCTCCAAAGGGAGAAGTATCATCCCAATCAGCTCCCAAAGCAGGCCAGTCCACCTGTCCACTCTGCAAGGTGGAACTTAACAAGGGCTCTAAGGACCCTCGCAACTACAACACATGTACCAAATGCAAGAACACTGTTTGCAACCTCTGTGGATTTAACCCCATGACACATGAAACAGAGGTAAGAGAACATGACAGTTCAAGAGCACTGCTTTCAGCAAGCATATGTCCTGTTGTTATCACTTATGGATGCGTCTCTTTAGAAGATTACAAAGTACAGCCTCATGTTCACTGATTTGTTTCTAAATGATCAAATCACACTAGTCTGTTTTGATGATAAACATTAGTTATTTTTTCCACAGAACCAGCTTTGTAGATAAAGCAAATGATGCAGGCTCTCTCATTTTGCCTGTGTTTTGTATTTGTAAGTCGCTCTGGATAAGAGCGTCTGCTAAATGACGTAAATGTAAATGTAAATGTACTTAAAGTTATTTATTAAATGCAAAGCTGCAAATATAGGCTGCTTTAACCAATACTATACAGGGCATAATATGTGTAAATTTCACCAAAGAGCATACGTTATTATATTTAAACTTTAAGTAGGCAACCTTATGGTATGCTACCTGATGCAATGACTGGACCCTCAAAAATATACCAACTGTGTAACTTCCTATGTACATATTCAGCCATTTGTAAAATTAGATTGACATGAATTGAACTCCGCTAGATACCAACAGGAAACCTGAGTATACAGTATATATCTAACACAGCCTTACTATTTCAGGTGAAGGAGTGGCTGTGTCTGAACTGCCAGATGCAGAGAGCTCTTGAAGGAATGGAACCCCCAGGAACTCCCATGATGAAACCCTCGCCCAGCAAAGTCTCTACACCTGTTGCTCCTCAAAAGAGGGACACTCTCACTCCAGCCGGTGCCCCAAAAGTGGCCACTTCACCAACCTCACTGAAAAAGGAGCTAGTGACTCGAGTCTCTCAGTCTGCCCCCTCAAAGCCTGAAGAGTCAGTGTCTGGGAAGATGTTTGGCTTTGGTTCCTCCATCTTCAGCTCTGCATCCACTTTGATCACCTCAACTGTTCAAGATGAACCCCGCACCACACCGCCAGCTTCTCCCAAGGTTTCTGCACCTGTTGCACCTCAACAGAAGGAGACTCCCACACCAGCTGGTCCCCAAAAAGTTGCCACTGCACCAGCCCCAACCAAAAAGGACCCAGAGACCCCTGCTTCAGTGAAAGAGGATAAACCTGCACCAGGCTCACCACAGAAGAAGAAGATTTCTCCTTCAGTGGCTTCACAGCAGCACCAGAAGCCAGTGGACAAACCAACTCCAACGTCTGTCCAACAACCTCCACAGCAGAAGACTCAACAACAACAAGGCCAGCCTCCGCAGCCCCCAGCAGGTGCACCGAAAGCAGAGCCTGGGAATCTTCAGCAACAGTATCCAAAAGGTGGAGCCTCTCCTGCCAATGCTTTGCCACCACAGGCCCAGCCCCCCAAACAGGAGTCAGGAGGCTTATTTGGATCTGGGGGTCCCAAATCTCAGCCTGAAAAGCCTGACGAGTCAGTGTCTGGGAAGATGTTTGGCTTTGGCTCCTCCATCTTCAGCTCTGCATCCACTTTGATCACCTCAGCTGTTCAAGACGAGCCCCGCACCACACCGCCAGCTTCCCCCAAGGTGTCTGCAGCAGCCCAGACATCTCCCAAGATGCTGCCTGCAAAAGAGACCAAACCACCTGCTGCTCGGAAAGCAGAAGATAAGAAAGCAGAGCAACTCCAGCAGGCCAAGGCCCCCTCATCAATACAGGCCAAAGTGTACAAACCCCCATCAGAGCCTCAAAAGGGAGCAACATCCCCCCAATCAGGTACCAACACAAATCAGTCCACCTGTCCACTCTGCAAGGTGGAACTCATTATGGGCTTCAAGGACCCTCCCAACTACAACACCTGCACCGAATGCAAGAACACTGTCTGCAACCTCTGTGGATTTAACCCCATGCCACATGAAAAAGAGGTAAGAGAAAATGACACTTTCAATTCACTTCTTTCAGCAAGCTCCTTTCCTGTTATATCTAATCACTTACAGATGTAAGATCATAATTTGAGCCAGTTTGCTACAGCAGGAAAATAATCCAGGAGCAACAGGAAATGTGAATTATTATGTGGATTATAATAAATGGACATTTTTGTAGGGGTTGATTCAATGTAAGGGAAAATCAAGTTTGACATTTCAAATAGGAAATTACAAACTTCAGAAGCCTTTTTACACCTCAAATACACTACAAGTTAGAAATGTCCTGAATTGCAGAAAGGTTCTCCTGCAACACAGTGATAAAATTAAGATCCTCTATCGGTATGGATTCAGCTCTTTGGAAGATTACAAAGTACAGCCTCATTTTCACTGATTTGTTTTTAAATGATAAAATCACACAGTCTGTTTTGTTGATATGCATGAGTTATTTTGTGAGCAGAACCAGCTTTGTACATTACGCAAATTATGTCAACTCTGTCATTTTCCCTGTGTTACCTTAGCAAAGTTATTTATTAAATTCAAAGCTTCAAATATAGGCTCCTTTAAACCATCTATACAAAGCATAATTTGTGTAGATTTTCACACAGATACTATATTGAGTTATTTCCCAAAGAGCATACATGATGGTATTGAAACTGTATGTAAGCTACTTTTAAGTAAGCTACCTGATGCAATGACCATGGGCACTCAAAAGTATAGCCACCAGTCTATTTTCCTATGTACATACAGTGCCTTGCAAAATTATTCATCCCCCTTGGCGTTTTTCCTATTTTGTTGCATTACAACCTGTAATTTAAATTTATTTTTATTTTTATTTCATGTAATGGACATACACAAAATAGTCCAAATTGGTGAAGTGAAATTAAAAAAATTACATATTTCAAAAAATTATACACAATAAATAACGGAAAAGTGGTTCGTGCATGTGTATTCACCCCCTTTGCTATGAAGCCCCTAAATAAGATCTGGTATAACCAATTACCTTTATAAGTCACATAATTAGTTAAATAAAGTCCACCTGTGTGCAATCTAAGTGTCACATGATCTTTCACATGATCTCAGTATATATACACCTGTTCTGAAAGGCCCCAGAGTCTGCAACACCACTAAGCAAGGGGCACCACCAAACAAGCGGCACCATGAAGAACAAGGAGCTCTCCAAACAGGTCAGGGACAAAGTTGTGGAGAAGTACAGATTAGGGTTGGGTTATAAAAAAATATCGAAAACTTTGAACATCCCACGGAGCACCATTAAATCCATTATAAAAAAAATTGAAATAATATGGCACCACAACAAACCTGCCAAGAGAGGGCTGCCCACCAAAACTCACGGACCAGGCAAGGAGGGCATTAATCAGAGAGGCAACAAAGAGACCAAAGATAACCCTGAAGGAGCTGCAAAGCTCCACAGTGGAGATTGGAGTATCTGTCCATAGGACCACTTTAAGCAGTACACTCCACAGAGCTGGGCTTTACGGAAGAGTGGCCAGAAAAAAGCCATTGCTGAAAGAAAAAATTAAGCAAACACATTTGGTGTTCAACAAAAGGCATGTGGGAGACTCCCCAAACATATGGAAGAAGGTACTCTGGTCAGATGAGACTAAAATTGAGCTTTTTGGCCATCAAGGAAAGCTCTATGTCTGGCGCAAACCCAACACCTTTCATCACCCCGAGAACACCATCCCCACTGTGAAGCATGGTGGTGGCAGCATCATGCTGTGGGGATGTTTTTCATCGGCAGGGACTGGGAAACTGGTCAGAATTGAAGGAATGATGGATGGCGCTAAATACAGGGAAATTCAAACCTGTTTCAGTCTCCCAGAGAATCGAGACTGGGACGGAGGTTCACCTTCCAGCAGAACAATGACCCTAAGCATACTGCTAAAGCAACACTCGAGTGGTTTAAGGGGAATGGCCTAGTCAAAGCCCAGACCTCAATCCAATTGAGAATCTGTGGTACACCAGCGGAACCCATCCAACTTGAAGGAGCTGGAGCAGTTTTGCCTTGAAGAATGGGCAAAAATCCCATTGGCTAGATGTGCCAAGCTTATAGAGACATACCCCAAGAGACTTGCAGCTGTAATTGCTGCAAAAGGTGGCTCTACAAAGTATTGACTTTGGGGGGGTGAATAGTTATGCACGCTCAAGTTTTCTGTTTTTTTGTCTTATTTCTTGTTTGTTTCACCAAAACAATTATTTTGCATCTTCAAAGTGGTAGGCATGTTGTGTAAATCAGATGATAGAAACCCCCCCAAAATCCATTTTAATTCCAGGTTGTAAGGCAACAAAATAGGAAAAATGCGAAGGGGGGTGAATACTTTCGCACGCCACTGTATTATGCCATTTGTGAAGTTAAATTGACATTCATTGGATTTAGATAGATACCAACAGGAAACCTGAGTATGCAATATGTATCTAATGTAACATATCATTACTCTTTCAGGTGAAGGAGTGGCTGTGTCTGAACTGCCAGATGCAGAGAGCTGTTGGAGGAATGGAACCCCCAGGAACTCCCATGATGAAACCCTCGCCCAGCAAAGTCTCTACACCTGTTGCTCCTCAAAAGAGGGACACTCTCACTCCAGCTGGTGCCCCAAAAGTGGCCACTTCACCAACCTCACTGAAAAAGGAGCTAGTGACTCGAGTCTCTCAGCCTGACCCCACAAAGCCTGAAGAGTCAGTGTCTGGGAAGATGTTTGGCTTTGGCTCCTCCATCTTCAGCTCTGCATCCACTTTGATCACCTCAGCTGTTGAGGATGAACCACTCACCCCACTGCCAGCTTCCCCCAAGGTGTCTGCAGCAGCCCAGGCCTCTCCCAAGACGCCCCCTGCAAAGGAGACCAAACCACCTACTGCTCAGAAAGCAGAGGAGAAGAAAGCAGAGCAACTCCAGCAGGCCAAGGTCCCCCCATCAGTACAGGCCAAAGTGGATAAGCCCCAATCTGAGCCTCCAAATGGAGCGGCATCCTCCCAACCAGCTCCCAAAGCAGGCCAGTCCACCTGTCCACTCTGTAAGGCGGAACTCAACAAGGGCTCCAAGGACCCTCCCAACTACAACACCTGCACTGAATGCAAGAACGCTGTCTGCAACCTCTGTGGATTTAACCCCATGCCACAGGAAACAGTAAGTAAAGAGTATATATTTCATGAAAGTAATTAGGCTACTCTAACATAACTGTTGTGCTTTATTTTAGAACAATTGGTTAAGGATACTAACTATACATAGACAATGTTTATAGTCGGCAGTCACGTTTTTCATGGGAAGTGCAAGATAAGATATTTGTATTAATATAGGCTTTTCTAAAAAAAAGGTATAATATTGGTTAATGATCTTTCTGGAAACTAATTGTAATCTGACACCATTGTCTTTGAGTATCTTGGCAAGGTTTTGACATTCATGTTCGTCTGATACTGATCACATTTAACATATTGTACGTTGCATTACTTTTGTCTGAAGGGGTTTGGAGTACATAGTGCCTCCCAATATTCTACAGAATATGCTAGGGATGTAACGATTCACCGATATGCATCGGTCCCCGATTCAAAGTTGAAGATGGAAGTGCTTCAGTCCACGGACCCCAAACCAATCCAAATGTAGCATGCATCGGTCAAAAAATAGATTATAAAGTTACGAATTGCAGGTTCACAAGCATTTTTTGCTCATATTGCATTTTTTCTACCGTCCTAAAATATCTATTATCTTGTGACAACTGATGTGTCCTCTCTTCTTCAGTGTTGAACTACATATAACTGTGTTGACAGTCATTGGTCTACAATTCATTTTGCATGCTGAACAACCCCATGCAATATCAGTAGCCTATTCAAACTGCACACTCTACCCAGCTTCGTGCACTGACCAGCACGAGGTAGGCAGCCTGTTCCTGATCTTGCACATATGCACGGCACCTTCAGCATTCAAATGCTAAAATGGCTTGCGTAATGTTAAGCTTCATTAGTTGAGTGACAACCTATGTAATTTGCTAGGTTATTATCTATGTGCTGTTGAAAATGGTGTTTTACCAGAATAAAAGTAAGCTACAGGAGACACAACTCTTATCTGGCTATACCTGCTGAACAGGGCTTAGAATGGATTTGATTTTGATTGTTCAGTTTGATTGTTCAGCAATAGTTTTGGTGGTTTTGCTTTAAACAATCAGTATGGTAATTTTTAGATATACATGGTAAAGTTCATAATTTCATAACGAGGACACCAATCACATTTGCGAGGCATGGCCGAAGCGGGAGGAGAAGCTCACTCAGTAAAAACTTCCAAACGGTCAAAATCATTTGGTTTCGAGATGGGGGTGAAATCCAAAGTTGTGCTATATATTAATTGGCTATGATTACATTTACATTTTAGTCATTTAGCAGACGCTCTTATCCAGAGCGATTTACAGGAGCAATTAGGGTTAAGTGCTTTGCTTAAGGGAACATCGACAGATTTTTCACCTAGTTGGCTCGGGGATTAGAACCAGCGACCTTTCGGTTACTGGCAGAACGCTCTTACCCACTAAGCTACCTGCCACCCTATATATGTCACAGCTAATGTTTCACAATACATATTAATACATTACTATCTCAAAGACTTAATCTGCAAAAATTACAAGTTAATCAGTGGGTGATGGTGATTTCAGAACCAAAGTGGCTGGACAAAAAACATATGCTACATTGCCCCGTTGATCGTGGTAGTGGGGTGGTAGATGCCTAGTCTCCCTTATGGCTCAGGTCAGGTGCATACATAGTACATACACCATAGATATACAGAATTTACACACACTCGCACACACACACACACAAACAGAGAGAGAAGTCAGCTTCGACAGATCCAGCTCAGAGAGTCCCAGCTGTCCATCAGCAGCCAATTTTAATTTAGAATGGAAAATGAATGTGTTTATGCAACAAATGTTAATGCATCGAATCGTATCCAGCGAACCGAATTGCGTCGATTCATTCTCTAATCAAGCCGAATCGCACCGAATCATTTCAAACTAAAACGTAGCGTTCCTGTATCGTATCGGAGCCCATGTATCTAGCTAGATACGTATCGATTTGTCTTGAAACTGAAAGATTCACATCCCTAGAATATGCAGAAGACTTAAAAATTAGGTTCACAAACAATGAGAGTACATTTTAGTTCTGTGAACACACTCACACTCTATGTAGATGTTGTTATCTAATTGTATTAATACGCTCTGATATAAATTATTAATTTGATTTAGCATCATGAAATTTAGAGCATTAAGACTCTAGTTTTGTATGTTTGTCACATGTAGTATGCAGTATTTGAATAGCAACTAAGATAAGAGCATCTATAAATGCTCAGACTGCAATAACATTCAAAGGAAAAGTTTACTTTTTTTTAATCAACACTTATTTTATTTCAGGTAAAGGAATGGCTGTGTCTGACCTGCCAGATGCAGAGAGCACTTGGAGGAATGGAACCCCCAGGACCTCCCATGATGAAACCCCAACCCTTGCCCACCATAGTCTCTACACCTGTTGCACCTCAAAAGGAGAATGTCACACCTGCTGCATCTCAAAAGCCGTACCCAGCTCCAGCTAAATCCCAGAAGGAGGAGATCCCAGTACCTGTGGCTGCCCAAAATGAGATCACTCCACCCACTGTACCTCAGGAGACACCAATTCCCATTGGAACCCCAGCACCAACTGCAGTCCAGAATAAGGAGACCCCAGAACCAGGATCCATACAAAATAAACAGGCTCCATCTGCTGTGGCTGCGAAGGAGAACCAGGAATCTATAATTGTTCCGAAACCAGTGGACCAACCAATTCCAGCCAGACCCAAACCAAGTGGAGCTGCTACACCTGCACAGCAACCAGAAAAGCAAACTCCTCCCATGCAACAGCCTGCTACAAAGCAACCACCACAAGTACAACCCCAGCCAGCTCCAAAGCCAGACCCCAAAACTGCTCACCTAAAGCAGGAGCCTGGAAAGCTTCCACAACAGCTTCCAAAAGGAGGGACCTCTCCTGCCAAAGCTGTACCGGAACCACATGCCCAGCCCACCAAGCAGTCAGGGGGCTTCTTTGGCTTTGGTGGTGCTAAATCTCAGCCAAAGCCTGAAGAATCAGTGTCTGGGAAGATGTTTGGCTTTGGCTCCTCTATCTTCAGCTCTGCATCTACTTTGATCACCTCAGCTGTTGAGGACAAACCACTCACCCCACCGCCAGCTTCCCCCAAGGTGTCTGCAGCAGCCCAGGCCTCTCCCAAGATGCCCCCTGCAAAGGAGACCAAACCACCTGCTGCTCAGAAAGCAGAGGAGAAGAAAGCAGAGCAACTCCAGCAGGCCAAGGTCCCCCCGTCAGTACAGGCCAAAGTGGACAAGCCCCAATCCGAGCCTCCAAAGGGAGCGGCATCCTCCCAACCAGCTCCCAAAGCAGGCCAGTCCACCTGTCCACTCTGCAAGGTGGAACTCAACAAGGGATCCAAGGACCCTCCCAACTACAACACCTGCACTGAATGCAAGAACACTGTCTGCAATCTCTGTGGATTCAACCCCATGCCAAACGTTACTGAGGTAATACATTACAGTTCTGTGAATTAATTTCAACATAATACAATGTAAATTGTAGCAGCCTAATTATTAATTGGTTTAGTTACACAAAATAATACACTTGTATTCAACTATAACTATAGTATTCAAGCAAGATACTTAGAGTAATGACTGGGCATGTTGTATGCAGACTGTATATTCACATGGAAATATTCAGCAATATATTTATGAAGATTCCTTGAAATGATTTTTCCAGCTATCATACCAACAGGTAACCGGGGTATACAGTATGTATCTAACACAACATTGCTCTTTCAGGTGAAGAAGTGGCTGTGTCTGAACTGCCAGATGCAGAGAGCTCTTGGAGGAATGGAACCCCCAGGACCCCCCATGATTCATCAGTCTCCCAAGAAAGTGTCTGCACCTCAAACGGTCGCTGTCACACCCAGTGCAGCCCAAAAGGATATTGCAACACCTGCTGCATCTGCGAAGAAAGACAGTCAAACCCCAGGCTCCCCTCAAAGGAAACCAATTCCCCCTGCAGCTGAAGTATCAAACGCTGAAGCTGCTAAAGCAGCAGGCACTCAAAAACTGGAAAGCCCAGTGTCTGCTCAGAACACTCCACTAGAGAATCGGAGAACATCAGAACCACCGAAACCACCACAGCATCCCAGCCCTGGGCGTAGGCAGAGTAGTGCCATCCCAGCCTCAAAGCAACCCCCCAAGCAGGAGTCAGGAGGCTTATTTGGCTTTGGTGGTCCTAAATCTCAGTCTATCCCCTCAAAGACTGAAGAGTCAGTGTCAGGGAAGATGTTTGGTTTTGGCTCCTCCATCTTCAGCTCTGCCTCCACTTTGATTACGTCAGCTGTTCAGGAGGAGCCCCACATCACACCGCCAGCTTCCCCCAAGGTGTCTGCACCTGTTGCACCACAAAAGAAGGAGACTCCCACACCAGCTGGTCCCCAAAAAGTGGCCCCTACTACAGCCTCAGCCAAAAAGGAAACCGTGACCCCTGCTTCAGTGAAAGAGAAGAACACCCCAGATCCAGGCTCGCCACAGAATAAGCAGGTTTCTCTGGCAGTGGCTTCACAGCAGGACCAGAGGCCAGTAGACAAACCACCTCCAACACTTGTCCAACAACCTCCACAACAGAAGACTCCACAACAACAAGGACAGCTTCATCAGCCTTCAGCAGGTGCACCGAAATCAGAGCCTGATATATCAATAGTTGAAGCTGCTAAAGCAGAAGACACTCAAAAACATCCAAGCCAAGGGCCTGCTCAGAAGGCACCACAGGGGAACCGGAGAACATCAGAACCTCCAAAACCACCACAGCAGCCTAGCCCTGGGCATAGGCAGAGTAGTGCCATCCCAGCCTCACAGCAACCCCCCAAGCAGGAGTCAGGAGGCTTATTTGGCTTTGGTGGTCCTAAATCTCAGTCTATCCCCTCAAAGACTGAAGAGTCAGTGTCAGGGAAGATGTTTGGCTTTGGCTCCTCCATCTTCAGCTCTGCCTCCACTTTGATCACCTCAGCTGTTCAGGACGAACCACTCACCCCACCGCCAGCTTCCCCCAAGGTGTCTGCAGCAGCCCATGCCTCTCCCAAGATGCCCCCTGCAAAGGAGACCAAACCACCTACTGCTCAGAAAGCAGAGGAGAAGAAAGCAGAGCAACCCCAGCAGGCCAAGGTCCCCCCATCAGTACAGGCCAAAGTGGACAACCCCCCATCAGAGTCTCAAAAAAGAGCAGCATCTTCCCAACCAGCTCCCAAAGCAGGCCAGTCCACCTGTCCACTCTGCCAGGTGGACCTTAACATGGACTCCAAGGACCCTCCCAACTTCAACACCTGCACCGAATGCAAGAACACTGTCTGCAACCGCTGTGGATTTAACCCTATGCCACATGTTACAGAGGTAAGTGAAAATGCAATTATTATAGGACGCAAGTAATAATTTATGTAATTCTTTGCTTAAATATTTTCAGATATATACATTGATCATACGGTCTGTCATTTTCCGTTGTATTATTATAGTTGACATTGTTTTTTAAAATTCTACTTTAACTTTTTTTCAGGTGAAGGAATGGCTGTGTCTGAACTGCCAGATGCAGAGAGCACTTGGAGGAATGGAACCCCCAGGACCTCCCATGATGAAACCCCAACCCTCGCCCAGCAAGGTTTCTACACCTGTTGCACCTCAAAAGGAGTCTCCTGCATCTGCTGCATTTCAAAAGGAAAAGGAGACTACCATACATGCTGCAGCCCAGAAGAAGGACATCGCCACACTCCAAAAAGAGGACACAACTACACTTTCTGCACCACAAAAGGAGGCTCCATTGCCAGCCTCATCCAAAATGTCACCACAAAAGAAAAAGTATCCTACACCACCAGGTGTGTCCCTAGCGAATGAGGTCCCAACCCCAGCTTTACCTGTCAATAAGGTTTCTGCCCCTGCCCTTATCAAGGATGCACCAACTCCTGCTTCTCCTCTCACCAAGGAGGCGCCAACTCCTGCCTCAGCTCTCGATAAGGAGGAACCAACTCCTGCCTCCTCTCTCATCAAGGAGGCACGAACTCCTGCCTCAGCCCTCAACAAGGAGGAACAAACTCCTGCCTCCCCTCTCATCAAGGAGGCACCAACTCCTGCCTCAGCTCTCAACAAGGAGGAACCAACTCCTGCGTCACCTCTCACCAAGGAGGCACCAGCCCCAACCTCACCCCAAAAGAAGAAGGAACCTATACTGCCAGGGTCACTAGACAGAAAGGTGGCCCCAAAACCAGATTCAACCCCAAATAAAGATGCTGTACCATCAGGTTTACCTCTGAAGAAGGAAGCCCCACCTTTGGGAGCAGTAGAAACTAATGAAGTCCAAGCTACAGCTGCAATACAGAGCAAAGATGCCCACATTCCAGGTTCACCCAAAACAAAAGTGACTCCAACAGTTGACACCCCACTAAAAAAAGAGGCTTCATCTACTGAGATCTCAATTGACAACCAGAAACTTGACAACCAGAAACCTGCAATTGTACAAAAGTCGGTGAAGCAACCAGCCACACCTACAACCAAGCAGAACGAGCCAGTTCAACCTTTACAGCAGCCAGAAAATCAAATGCCTGCGCGGGAACAGCCGGCTACACAGCCCCTGACACAAGTACAGCCTCAGGAAACTCCAAAGCCGGACCCTAAATTCACTCTCCCAAAGCAGGATCCTGGGAAACCAGCCAATCCAGCACCTGCTCAGAAGTCATCACAGAACCCAAGAACATCAGAACTTCAGACACCACCACAGCAGCCCAGACTTCCCGGGCGGAGGCAGGGTAGTGCCATCTTAGCCACACAGCAACCCCCCAAGCAGGACTCAGGAGGCTTATTTGGCTTTGGTGGTCCCAAATCTCAGTCTACCCCCTCAAAACCTGAAGAGTCAGTGTCTGGGAAGATGTTTGGCTTTGGCTCCTCCATCTTCAGCTCTGCATCCACTTTGATCACCTCAACTGTTCAGGACGAGCCCCGCACCACACTGCCAGCTTCCCCCAAGGTGTCTGCAGCATCCCAGGCCTCTCCCAAGATGCTGCCTGCAAAAGAGACCAAACCACCTGCTGCTCAGAATGCAGAAAAGAAAGCAGAGCAACCCCAGCAGGCCAAGGTCCCCCCATCAGTACAGGCCAAAGTGGACAAGCCCCAATCCGAGCCTCCAAAGGGAGCGGCATCCTCCCAACCAGCTCCCAAAGCAGGCCAGTCCACCTGTCCACTCTGCAAGGTGGAACTCAATAAGGGATCCAAGGACCCTCCCAACTACAACACCTGTACCGAATGCAAGAACACTGTCTGCAATCTCTGTGGATTCAACCCCATGCCAAACGTTACTGAGGTAATACATTACAGTTCTGTAATACAATGTCAATTTGCCTGTGCTATTTTTGTAGCAGCCTAATTATTAATTGCTTTAGTTACACAAAATGTTACATTTGTATTCAACTGTAACTATAGTATTCAAGCAAGATACTTAGAGTAATGACTGGGCATGTTGTATGCAGACTGTATATTCACATGGAAATATTCAGCAATATATTTATGAAGATTCCTTGAAATGATTTTTCCAGCTATCATACCAACAGGTAACCGGGGTATACAGTATGTATCTAACACAACATTGCTCTTTCAGGTGAAGAAGTGGCTGTGTCTGAACTGCCAGATGCAGAGAGCTCTTGGAGGAATGGAACCCCCAGGACCCCCCATGATTCATCAGTCTCCCAAGAAAGTGTCTGCACCTCAAACGGTCGCTGTCACACCCAGTGCAGCCCAAAAGGATATTGCAACACCTGCTGCATCTGCGAAGAAAGACAGTCAAACCCCAGGCTCCCCTCAAAGGAAACCAATTCCCCCTGCAGCTGAAGTATCAAACGCTGAAGCTGCTAAAGCAGCAGGCACTCAAAAACTGGAAAGCCCAGTGTCTGCTCAGAACACTCCACTAGAGAATCGGAGAACATCAGAACCACCGAAACCACCACAGCATCCCAGCCCTGGGCGTAGGCAGAGTAGTGCCATCCCAGCCTCACAGCAACCCCCCAAGCAGGAGTCAGGAGGCTTATTTGGCTTTGGTGGTCCTAAATCTCAGTCTACCCCCACAAAGCCTGAAAAGTCCATTTCTGGGAAGATGTTTGGCTTTGGCTCCTCCATTTTTAGCTCTGCCTCCACTTTGATTACGTCAGCTGTTCAGGAGGAGCCCCGCATCACACCGCCAGCTTCCCCCAAGGTGTCTGCACCTGTTGCACCTCAAAAGAAGGAGACTCCCACACCAGCTGGTCCCCAAAAAGTGGCCCCTACTACAGCCTCAGCCAAAAAGGAAACCGTGACCCCTGCTTCAGTGAAAGAGAAGAACACCCCAGAACCAGGCTCGCCACAGAAGAAGCAGGTTTCTCCGGCAGTGGCTTCACAGCAGGACCAGAAGCCAGAAGACAATCCACCTCCAACACTTGTCCAACAACCTCCACAACAGAAGACTCCACAACAACAAGGACAGCCTCAGCAGCCCTCAGCAGGTGCACCGAAATCAGAGCCTGATATATCAATAGTTGAAGCTGCTAAAGCAGAAGACACTCAAAAACATCCAAGCCAAGGGCCTGCTCAGAAGGCACCACAGGGGAACCGGAGAACATCAGAACCTCCAAAACCACCACAGCAGCCTAGCCCTGGGCGTAGGCAGAGTAGTGCCATCCCAGCCTCACAGCAACCCCCCAAGCAGGAGTCAGGAGGCTTATTTGGCTTTGGTGGTCCTAAATCTCAGTCTATCCCCTCAAAGTCTGAAGAGTCAGTTTCAGGGAAGATGTTTGGCTTTGGCTCCTCCATCTTCAGCTCTGCCTCCACTTTGATCACCTCAGCTGTTCAGGACGAACCACTCACCCCACCGCCAGCTTCCCCCAAGGTGTCTGCAGCAGCCCATGCCTCTCCCAAGATGCCCCCTGCAAAGGAGACCAAACCACCTGCTGCTCAGAAAGCAGAGGATAAGAAAGCAGAGCAACCCCAGCAGGTCAAGGTCTCCCCATTAGTACAGGCCAAAGTGGACAAACCCCCATCAGAGCCTCAAAAAAGAGCAGCATCTTCCCAACCAGCTCCCAAAGCAGGCCAGTCCACCTGTCCACTCTGCCAGGTGGACCTTAACATGGACTCCAAGGACCCTCCCAACTTCAACACCTGCACCGAATGCAAGAACACTGTCTGCAACCGCTGTGGATTTAACCCTATGCCACATGTTACAGAGGTAAGTTAAAATGCAATTATAATAGGAAGCAAGTAATAATTTATGTAATTCTTTGCTTAAATATTTTTAGATATATGCATTGATCATACGGTCTGTCATTTTCCATTTTTTTATTATAGTTGACATTGTTTTTCACAATTCTACTTTAACTTTTTTTCAGGTGAAGGAATGGCTGTGTCTGAACTGCCAGATGCAGAGAGCACTTGGAGGAATGGAACCCCCAGGACCTCCCATGATGAAACCCCAACCCTCGCCCAGCAAGGTTTCTACACCTGTTGCACCTCAAAAGGAGTCTCCTGCATCTGCTGCATTTCAAAAGGAAAAGGAGACTACCATACATGCTGCAGCCCAGAAGAAGGACATTGCCACACTCCAAAAAGAGGAGACAACTACACTTTCTGCACCACAAAAGGAGGCTCCATTGCCAGCCTCATCCAAAATGTCACCACAAAAGAAAAAGTATCCTACACCACCAGGTGTGTCCCTAGCGAATGAGTTCCCAACCCCAGCTTTACCTGCCAATAAGGTTTCTGCCTCTGCCCTTATCAAGGATGCACCTACTCCTGCTACTCCGCTCACCAAGGAGGCACCAACTCCTGCCTCAGATCTCACCAAAGAGGAACTAACTCCTGCCTCAGCTCTCGATAAGGAGGACCCAACTCCTGCCTCCTCTCTCATTAAGGAGGCACAAACTCCTGCCTCAGCTCTCACTAAGGAGGAACCAACTACTGCCTCCCCTCTCATCAAGGAGGCACCAACTCCTGCCTCAGCTCTCGCTAAGGAGGAACCAACTCCTGCCTCCTCTCTCACCAAGGAGGCACTAACTCCTGCCTCAGCTCTCACCAAGGAGGAACCAACTACTGCCTCCCCTCTCATCAAGGAGGCACCAACTCCTCCTTCAGATCTCACCAAGGAGGAACCAACTACTGCCTCCCCTATCATCAAAGAGGCACCGACTCCTGACTTAGCTCTCAACAAGGAGGAACCAACTCCTGCGTCCCCTCTCATCAAGGAGGCACCAACTCCTGTCTTACCACTCTCCAAGGAGGCCCCAGCCTCACCCCAAAAGAAGAATGAACCTATACTGCCAGGGTCACTAGACAGAAAGGTGGCCCCAAAACCAGAATCAACCCAAAATAAAGAGGCTGTACCATCAGGTTTACCTCTGAAGAAGGAAGCCCCACCTTTGGGAGCAGTAGAAACTAAAGAAGTCCAAGCTACAGCTGCAATACAGAGCAAAGATGCCCACATTCCAGGTTCACCCAAAACAAAAGTGACTCCAACAGTTGACACCCCACTTAAAAAAGAGGCTTCATCTACTGAGATCTCAATTGACAACCAGAAACTTGACAACCAGAAACCTGCAATTGTACAAAAGTCGGTGAAGCAACCAGCCACACCTACAACCAAGCAGAACGAGCCAGTTCAACCTTTACAGCAGCCAGAAAATCAAATGCCTGCGCGGGAACAGCCGGCTACACAGCCCCTGACACAAGTACAGCCTCAGGAAACTCTAAAGCCGGACCCTAAATTCACTCTCCCAAAGCAGGATCCTACAACACCAGCCAATCCAGCACCTGCTCAGAAGTCATCACAGAACCCAAGAACATCAGAACTTCAGACACCACCACAGCAGCCCAGACTTCCCGGGCGGAGGCAGAGTAGTGCCATCTTAGCCACACAGCAACCCCCCAAGCAGGACTCAGGAGGCTTATTTGGCTTTGGTGGTCCCAAATCTCAGTCTACCCCCTCAAAACCTGAAGAGTCAGTATCTGGGAAGATGTTTGGCTTTGGTTCCTCCATCTTCAGCTCTGCATCCACTTTGATCACCTCAACTGTTCAGGATGAGCCCCGCACCACACCGCCAGCTTCCCCCAAGGTGTCTGCACTTGCCCAGACGTCTCCCAAGATGTCCCCTGCAAAAGAGACCAAACCGCCTGCTGCTCAAAAAGCAGAGAAGAAAGCAGAGCAACTCCAGCATGCCAAGGTCCCCCCATCAGTACAGGCCAAAGTGGACAAATCCCCATCAGAGCCTCCACAGGTAGTAGCATCCTCCCAACCAGCTCCCAAAGCAGGCCAGTCCACCTGTCCACTCTGCAAGGTCAGACTCAACAAGGGCTTTAAGGACCCTCCCAACTACAACACTTGCACGGAATGCAAGAACACAGTCTGCAACCTTTGTGGATTCAACCCTATGCCAGATGAAACAGAGGTAATTAAAGAGTCTGTTTCATCAAAGTAATTAGGCTACTCTAACATAACTGTTGTGCTTTATTTTAGAACAATTAGTTAAGGATACCCACTATACATAGGCAATGTCTATAGTTGCCGGTCATGTCTTTCATGGGAGGTGTAAGATAGGATAACAAGATGCTTTGAGTGAGATCTTTTTATTAATCATTTTCTGATATTGTCTAATATTGGTTTATGATCTTCCTGGAAACAAATTGTAATCTGGCAGCATTGACTACCAATATCTTTGGACTTCATGGTATAGTTTCTGCTCTGACATGCATTGTCAACTGTGGGACCTTATATAGACAGGTGTTTCTTTCTAAATGTCTGAACAATTGAATTGGCCACAGGTGGACTCCAATCAAGTATTGACATCTCAAGGATGATCAAAGAAAATTGGAATGCACCTGAGCTCAATTTGGAGAATCATGGCAAAGGGGTGTGAATACTTACAGTACCAGTCAAAAGTTTGGACACACCAACTCATTCAAGAGTTTTTCTTTAGTTTTACTATTTTCTACATTGTATAATAATAGTGATGACATCAAAACTATGAAATAACACATATGGAATCATGTAGTAACCAAAAAAGTGTTAAACAAATCAAAATATATTTTATATTCTTCAAAGTAGCCATCCTTTGCCTTGATGACAGCTTTGCACACTCTTGGCATTCTCTCAACCAGCTTCACCTGGAATTATTTTCCAACGGTCTTGAAGGAGTTCCCACATATGCTGAGCACTTGTTGGCTGCTTTTCCTTCACTCTGCCGTCCAACTCATCCCAAACCATCTCAATTGGGTTGAGGTCGGGGGATTGTGGAGGCCAGGTCATCTGATGCAGCACTCCATCACTCTCCTTGGTCAAATAGCCCTTACATAGCCTGGAGGTGTGTTTTGGGTCATTGTCCTGTGAAAAACAAATGATAGTCCCACTAAGCGCAAACCAGATGGGATGGCGTATCGCTGCAGAATGCTGTGGTAGCCATGCTGGTTAAGTGTGCCTTGAATTCTATATAAATCACAGACAGTGTCACCAGCAAAGCACCCCCACACCATCACACCTCCTCCTCCATGCTTCACGGTGGGAACCACACATGCGGAGATCATCCGTTCACCTACTCTGCGTCTCACAAAGACACAGCGGTTGGAACCAAAAATCGTACATTTGGACTCATCAGACCAAAGGACAGATTTCCACCGGTCTAATGTCCATTGCTCGTGTTTCTTGGCCCAAGCAAGTCTCTTCTTATTATTGGTGTCCTTTAGTAATGGTTTATTTGCAGCAATTCGACCATGAAGGCCTGATTCACACAGTCTCCTCTGAACAGTTGATGTTGAGATGTGTCTGTTAATTGAACTCTGTGAAGCATTTATCTGAGGTGCAGTTAACACTAAATAACCTATCCTCTGCAGCAGAGGTAACTGTAGGTCTTCCTTTCCTGTGGCGTTCCTCATGAGAGCCAGTTTCATCATAGTCACAAAAACCATCAAGCGCTGCACTTGAAGAAACTTTCAAAGTTCTTGAAATTTTCCGGATTGATTGACCTCCATGTCTTAAAGTAATGAAGGACTGTGATTTCTCTTTGCTTATTTGAGCTGTTCTTGCCATAATATGGACTTGGTATTTTACCGAATAGGGCTATCTTCTGTATACCATGTCACAACACAACTGATTGGCTCAAACAAATTAAGAAGGAAATAAATTCCACAAATTAACTTTTAACAAGGCACACCTGTTAATTGAAATGCATTCCAGGTGACTACCTCATGAAGCTGGTTGAGAGAATGCCAAGAGTGTTCAAAGCTGTCATCAAGGCAAAGGGTGGTGACTTTAAAGAATCTAAAATATATTTTGATTTGTTTAACACTTTTTTGCTTACTACAAGATTCATATGTGTTATTTAATTGTTTTGATGTCTTCACTATTATTCTGCAATGTAGAAAATAGTAAAAATAAAGAAAAACCCTGGAATGAGTAGGTGTGTCCAAACGTTTCACTTGTACTGTATGTAAATTAGATATTTCTGTATTTCATTTTCAATACATTTGCAAAGATTTCTAAAAACATGTTTTCACTTTGTCATTATGGGGTGTTGTGTGGAGATTGGTGGGGAAAAAATAATTTTAATGCATTTTGAATTCAGGCTGAAACACAACAAAATGTGTAATAAGTCAAGGGGTATGAAGACTTTCTGAAGGCACTGTCTGTCCTATTAAAATTAGGTTCACAAACCATGAGAGGAGAAACATTTAAGATTGTAGGTCTATATTCACACACTCTTTAGATGTTATCTAATTTTAGATTTTGTAGAATTGTATTAATACAGCCTGATATAAAGTATTATTTTCATTTAGCATCTTCAGATTTAGAGCATTATGATGGTAGTTTTGGTATGTTTTTCACATGTGGTATGCAATATTTAAATAGCAACTAATATAAGAGCATCTGCTGGTGCTCAGACTGCAATAATATTCTACAAAATTGTTTTATTTTACAATTTATTCCAATACTGTTATTTTTTCAGGTAAAGGAATGGCTGTGTCTGACCTGCCAGATTCAGAGAGCACTTGGAGGAATGGAGCCCCCAGGACCTCCCATGATGAAACCCCAACCCTTGCCCACCATAGTCTCTACACCTGTTGCACCTCAAAAGGAGAATGTCACACCTGCTGCATCTCAAAAGCCGTACCCAGCTCCAGCTAAATCCCCGAAGGAGGAGATCCCAGTACCTGTGGCTGCCCAAAATGAGATCACTCCACCCACTGTACCTCAGGAGACACCAATTCCCACTGGAACCCCAGCACCAACTGCAGTCCAAAATAAGGAGACCCCAGAACCAGGATCCATACAAAATAAACAGGCTCCATCTGCTGTGGCTGCGAAGGAGAACCAGGAATCTATAATTGTTCCGAAACCAGTGGACCAACCAATTCCAGCCAGACCCAAACCAAGTGGAGCTGCTACACCTGCACAGCAGCCAGAAAAGCAAACTCCTCCCATGCAACAGCCTGCTACAAAGCAACCACCACAAGTACAACCCCAGCCAGCTCCAAAGCCAGACCCCAAAACTGCTCCCCTAATGGAGCCAATGACTCCTTCTTCAGAGAAAGAGAAGAAGACCCCAGTACCAGGGTCACCACAGAAGGAGGTATCTCCAGCAGTGGCTTTACAGCAGGACCATAAGCCAGTGGACAAACCGACTCCAACACTTGTCCAACAACCTCCACAACTGAAGAGTTCACAACAACATGGACAGCCTCCGCAGCCCTCAGCAGAGGCACCAAAATCAGAGCCTGATATATCAATAGTTGAAGCTTCTAAATCAGCAGACACTCAAAAACCGGCAAGCCGAATGCCTCCTCAGACGGCACCACAGGGGAACCGGAGAACATCAGAACCTCATAAACCACCACAGCAGCCTAGCCTTGGGCGTAGGCAGAGTAGTGCCATCCCAGCCTCACAGCAACCCCTCAAACAGGAATCAGGAGGCTTATTTGGCTTTGGAGGTCCCAAATCTCAGTCTGCCTCCTCAAAGCCTGAAGAGTCAGTGTCTGGGAAGATGTTTGGTTTTGGCTCATCCATCTTCAGCTCTGCCTCCACTTTGATAACCTCAGTTGTTCAGGATGAGCACCGCACAACACCACCAGCTTCCCCCAAGATGTCTGCACTGGCCCAGACCTCTCCCAAGACGCCCCCTGCAAACGAGACCAAACCACCTGCTGCTCAGAAAGCAGAGGAGAAGAAAGCAGAGCAACTCCAGCAGGCCAAGGTCCCCCCATTAGTACAGGCCAAAGTGGACAAGCCCCAATCCGAGCCTCCAAAGGGAACAGCATCCTCCCAACCAGCTCCCAAAGCAGGCCAGTCCACCTGTCCACTCTGTAAGGCGGAACTCAACAAGGGCTCCAAGGACCCTCCCAACTACAACACCTGCACTGAATGCAAGAACACTGTCTGCAACCTCTGTGGATTTAACCCCATGCCACATGAAACAGTATGTAAAGAGTATATGTTTCCTCAAAGTAATTAGGCTACTCTAACATAACTGATGTGTTTTATTTTAGAACAATTGGTTAAGGACACTAACTATACAAAGACAATATTTATGATCGCCAGTCATGTCTTTCATGGGAGGTGTAAGATAGGATAACAAGATGCTTTGATGGAGTTATTTGTATTAATATAGGCTTTTCAAAAAAAATTGTCTAATATTGGTTCCTGATCTTCCTGGAAACCAATTGTAATCTGACAGCATTGTCTTTGAGTATCTTGGCAAGGTTTTGATATTCATGTTCATCTGATAATGATCACATTTAACATATTGTACGTTGCATTACTTTTGTCTGAAGGGGTTTGGAGTACATAGTGCCTCCCGATATTCTACAGAATATGCTAGGGATGTAACGATTCACCGATATGCATCGGTCCCCGATTCAAAGTTGAAGATGCAAGTGCTTCAGTCCACGGACCCCAAACCAATCCAAATGTAGCATGCATCGGTCAAAAAATAGATTATAAAGTTACGAATTGCCGGTTCACAAGCATTTCTTGCTCATATTAAATGTTTTCTACCGTCCTAAAATATCTATTATCTTGTGACAACTGATGCGTCCTCTCTTCTTCAGTGTCGAACTACATATAACTGTGTTGACAGTCATTGGTCTACAAGTCATTTTGCATGCCGAACAACCCCATGCAATATCAGTAGCCTATTCAAACTGCACACTCTATCCAGCTTCGTGCACTGACCAGCACGAGGTAGGCAGCCTGTTCCTGATCTTGCACATATGCGCGGCACCTTCAGCATTCAAATGCTAAAATGGTTTGCGTAATGTTAAGCTTCATTAGTTGAGTGACAACCTATGTAATTTGCTAGGTTATTATCTATGTGCTGTTGAAAATGGTGTTTTACCAGAATAAAAGTAAGCTACAGGACAACTCTTATCTGGCTATACCTGCTGAACTGGGCTTAGAATGGATTTGATTTTGATTGTTCAGTTTCCGCACCAGCAATAGTTTTGGTAGTTTTGCTTTAAACAATCAGTTTGGTCATTTTTAGATATACATGGTAAAGTTCATAATTTCATAACGAGGACACCAATCACATTTGCGAGGCATGGCCGAAGTGCGAGGAGAAGCTCACTCAGTAAACACTTCCAAACGGGGTAATCCAAAGTTGTGCTATATATTAAATGGCTATGTCACAGCTAATGTTTCACAATAAATATTAATACATTACTAGCTCAAACACTTAATCTGCAAAAATTACAAGTTAATCGGTGGGTGATGGTGATTTCAGAACCAAATTGGGTGGACAGAAAACATATGCTACATTGCCCCGCTGATAGTTTTAGTGGGGTGGTAGATGCCTAGTCTCCCTAATGGCTCAGGTCAGGTGCATACATAGTACATACACCATAGATATACAGAATTTACACACACTCGCGCGCACACACACACAGAAAGAAGTCAGCTTCAACAGATCCAGCTCAGAGACTCCCAGCTGTCCATCAGCAGCCAATTTTAATTTAGAATGGAAAATGAATGGGTTTATGCAACAAATGTTAACGCTTCAAATCGTATCCAGCGAACCGAATTGCTTTGATTCGTTCTTTAATCAAACCGAATCGCACCGAATCGTTTCAAACTAAAACGTATCGTTCCTGTATCTTATCGGAGCCCATGTATCTAGCTAGATATGTATCGAATCGTCTTGAAAGGTAAAGATGCACATCCCTAGAATATGCACCAGACTTTAAAATTAGGTTCACAAACAATGAGAGGAAAAACAATGAGGATTTTAGGTCTATGAACACACTCACACTCTGTAGATGTTGTTATCTAATTTTAGATCTTGAGGAATTGTATTAATACGCTCTGATATAAATTATTCATTTTATTTAACATCTTCAGATTTAGAGCATTAAGACATTTGTTTTGTCACGTGTAGTATGCATTATTTAAATATCAACTAAAATAAGAGTATCTGTAAGTGCTCAGACTACAATAACATTCTAAAATATTCTTTACAAATTATTTTTATCAACGCTGTTATTTTATTTCAGGTAAAGGAATGGCTGTGTCTGACCTGCCAGATGCAGAGAGCACTTGGAGGAATGGAACCCCCAGGACCTCCCATGATGAAACCCCAACCCTTGCCCAGCATAGTCTCTACACCTGTTGCACCTCAAAAGGAGAATGTCACACCTGCTGCATCTCAAAAGCCGTACCCAGCTCCAGCTAAACCCCAGAAGGAGGAGATCCCAGTACCTGTGGCTGCCCAAAAAGAGAACACACCCACTGTACATCAGGAGACACCATTTCCCGCTGGAAACCCAGAATCAACTGCAGTCAAAAAGGAGGAGACCCCAGCACTAGGATCCACACAAAATAAACAGGCTCCACCTGCTGTGGCTGCGAAGGAGAGTGAAGAACCTATAATTGTTCAGAAACCAGTGGACCAACCAATTCCAGCCAGACCCAAACCAAGTGGAGCTGCTACACCTGTACAGCAGCCAGAAAAGCAAACTCCTTCACTGCAACAGCCTGCTACAAAGCCACCACCACAAGTACAAACCCAGCCAGCTCCAAAGCCAGACCCCAAAACCGCTCCCCTAATGGAGCCAATGACTCCTTCTTCAGAGAAAGAGAAGAAGACCCCAACTCCAGGGTCACCACAGAAGGAGGTATCTCCAGCAGTGGCTTCACAGCAGGACCAAACACAAGTGGACAAACCAACTCCAACCCCTGTCCAACAACCTCAACACCAGAAGACTCCACAACAACAAGAGCAACCTCCTCAGCCCCTAACAGTGGCACCGAAAGCAGAGGCCGGGAAGCCTCAACAACAGCTTCCAAAAGGTGGACCACCACCACCACCACAGGCCCAGCCCTCCAAGCAGGAGTCAGGAGGCTTCTTTGGATTTGGTGGTGCTAAATCTCAGCCTGCTCAGTCAAAGCCTGAAGACTCAGTGTCTGGGAAGATGCTTGGATTTGGCTCCTCCATCTTCAGCTCTGCATCCACTTTGATCACCTCAGCTGTTCAAGATGAGCACCGCACCAGACCTCCAGCTTCCCCCAAGGTGTCTGCAACTGTTGCGCCTCAACAGATGGAGAATCCCAGACCAGCTGGTCCCCAACAAGTGGCCCCTACAACAACCTCACCCAAAAAGGAGTCAATGACTCGTGCTTTAGTGAAAGAGACCCCAGCACCAGGCTCGTCACAGAAGAAGGAGGTATCCTCGACAGTGGTTTGCCAGCAGGACCATAAGCCAGTGGACAAACCGACTCCAACACTTGTCCAACAACCTCCACAACAGAAGACTCCACAACAACAAGGACAGCCTACGCAGCCCTCAGCAGAGGCACCAAAATCAGAGCCTGACATATCAATAGTTGAAGCTGCTAAAGCAGCAGACACTCAAAAACTGGCAAGCCCAGTGCCTGCTCAGAAGGCTCCACTGGAAAACCGGAGAACATCAGAACCTCATAAACCACCACAGCAGCCTAGCCCTGGGCGTAGGCAGAGTAGTGCCATCCCAGCCACACAGCAAACCCCTGAGGAGTCAGGAGGCTTATTTGGCTTTGGAGGTCCCAAATCTCAGTCTGCCTCCTCAAAGCCTGAAGAGTCAGTGTCTGGGAAGATGTTTGGCTTTGGCTCGTCCATTTTCAGCTCTGCCTCCACTTTGATAACCTCAGTTGTTCAGGATGAGCCCCGCACCACACCGCCAGCTTCCCCCAAGATGTCTGCACTGGCCCAGACATCTCCCAAGATGCCCCCTGCAAACGAGACCAAACCACCTGCTGCTCAGAAAGCAGAGGAGAAGAAAGCAGAGCAACTCCAGCAGGCCAAGGTCCCCCCATCAGTACAGGCCAAAGTGGACAAGCCCCAATCCAAGCCTCCAAAGGGAGCAGCATCCTCCCAACCAGCTCCCAAAGCAGGCCAGTCCACCTGTCCACTCTGTAAGGTGGAACTCAACAAGGGCTCCAAGGACCCTCCCAACTACAACACCTGCACTGAATGCAAGAACGCTGTCTGCAACCTCTGTGGATTTAACCCCATGCCACAGGAAACAGTAAGTAAAGAGTATATGTTTCATGAAAGTAATTAGGCTACTCTAACATAACTGTTGTACTTTATTTTAGAACAATTGGTTAAGGATACTAACTATACCTACACAATGTTTATAGTCGGCAGTCACGTCTTTCATGGGAAGTGCAAGATAGGATAAGAAGATTCTTTTGATGAAGTTATTTGTATTAATATAGGCTTTTCTAAACAATTGTCTAATATTTGTTCATGATCTTTCTGGAAACCAATTGTAATCTGACACCATTGTCCTTGAGTATCTTGGCAAGGTTTTGACATTCATGTTCATCTGATACTGATCACATTTAACATACTGTACGTTGCATTACTTTTGTCTGAAGGGGTTTGGAGTACATAGTGCCTCCCAATATTCTACAGAATATGCTAGGGATGTAATGATTCACCGATATGCATCGGTCCCCGATTCAAATTTGAAGATGCAAGTGCTTCAGTCCACGGACCCCAAACCAATCCAAATGTAGCATGCATCGGTCAAAAAATAGATTATAAAGTTACGAATTGCCGATTCACAAGCATTTCTTGCTCATATTACATTTTTTCTACCGTCTGAAAATATCTATTATCTTGTGACAACTGATGTGTCCTCTCTTCTTCAGTGTTGAACTACATGTAACTGTGTTGACAGTCATTGATCTACGTCATTTTGCATGCCCAACAACCCCATGCAATATCAGTAGCCTATTCAAGCTGCACACTCTAACCAGCTTCGTGCACCGACCAGCACGAGGTAGGCAGCCTGTTCCTGATCTTGCACATATGCGTGGCAACTTCAGTATTCAAATGCTAAAATGGCTTGCGTAATGTTAAGCTTCATTAGTTGAGTGACAACCTATGTAATTTGCTAGTTTATTATCTATGTGCTGTTGAAAATGGTGTTTTACCAGAATAAAAGTAAGCTACAGGAGACACAACTCTTATCTGGCTATACCTGCTGAACAGGGCTTAGAATGGATTTGATTTTGATTGTTCAGTTTCCCCACCAGCAATAGTTTTGGTAGTTTTGCTTTAAACAATCAGTATGGTAATTTTTAGATATACATGGTAAAGTTCATAATTTCATAACGAGGACACCAATCACATTTAATAATAATATTCCATTTAGCAGACGCTTTTATCCAAAGCGACTTACAGTCATGCTTGCATACATTTTTGTGTATGGGATGGTCCTGGGGATCGAACCCACTACCCTGGCGTTACAAGCGCCGTGCTCTACCAGCTGAGCTACAGAGGACCACATTTGCGCGCACATACACACACACAAACAGAGAGAGAAGTCAGCTTCGACAGATCCAGTTCAGAGAGTCCCAGCTCTCCATCAGCAGCCAATTTTAATTTAGAATGGAAAATGAATGTGTTTATGCAACGAATGTTAACGCATCGAATCGAATCCAGCAAACCGAATTGCGTCGATTCGTTCTCTAATCAAGCCGAATCACAACCGAATCATTTCAAACTAAAACGTATCATTCCTGTATCGTATCGGAGCCCATGTATCTAGTTCGATACGTATCGAATCGTGTTGAAACTGAAAGATTCACATCCCTAGAATATGCAGCAGACTTAAAAATTTGGTTCACAAACAATGAGAGTACATTTTAGTTCTATGAACACACTCACATTCTATGTAGATGTTGTTATCTAATTTTAGATCTTGAGGAATTGTATTAATACTCTGATATACATTATTAATTGTATTTAGCATCTTGAGATTTAGAGCATTAAGACTGTAGTTTTGTATGTTTGTCACATGCAGTATGCAGTATTTATATACAGTGGGGAAAAAAAGTATTTAGTCAGCCACCAATTGTGCAAGTTCTCCCACTTAAAAAGATGAGAGAGGCCTGTAATTTTCACCATAGGTACACGTCAACTATGACAGACAAATTGAGAGAAAAAAATTCCAGAAAATCACATTGTAGGATTTTTAATGAATTTATTTTCAAATTATGGTGGAAAATAAGTATAAGTACACTGTAGCAACTAAGATAAGAGCATCTGTAAGTGCTCAGACTACAATAACATTCTAAAACATATATAGATATATATATTCTTTTTTATCAACACTGTTATTTTTTCAGGTAAAGGAATGGCTGTGTCTGACCTGCCAGATGCAGAGAGCACTTGGAGGAATGGAACCCCCAGGACCTCCCATGATGAAACCCCATCCCTTGCCCACCATAGTCTCTACACCTGTTGCACCTCAAAAGCCGTACCCAGCTCCAGCTAAATCCCAGAAGGAGGAGATCCCAGTACCTGTGGCTGCCCAAAATGAGATCACTCCACCCACTGTACCTCAGGAGACACCAATTCCCACTGGAACCCCAGCACCAACTGCAGTCCAAAATAAGGAGACCCCAGAACCAGGATCCATACAAAATAAACAGGCTCCATCTGCTGTGGCTGCGAAGGAGAACCAGGAATCTATAATTGTTCCGAAACCAGTGGACCAACCAATTCCAGCCAGACCCAAACCCAGTAGAGCTGTTATACCTGCACAGCAGCCAGAAAAGCAAACTCCTTCACTGCAACAACCTGCTACAAAGCAACCACCACAAGTACAAACCCAGCCAGCTCCAAAGCCAGACCCCAAAACTGCTCCCCTCAAGCAGGAGCCTGGAAAGCTTCCACAACAGCTTCCAAAAGGAGTTACCTCTCCTGCCAAAGCTGTACCAGAACCACATGCCCAGCCCACCAAGCAGTCAGGGGGCTTCTTTGGCTTTGGTGGTGCTAAATCTCAGCCAAAGCCTGAAGAATCAGTGTCTGGGAAGATGTTTGGCTTTGGCTCCTCTATCTTCAGCTCTGCATCTACTTTGATCACCTCAGCTGTTGAGGACAAACCACTCACCCCACCGCCAGCTTCCCCCAAGGTGTCTGCAGCAGCCCAGGCCTCTCCCAAGATGCCCCCTGCAAAGGAGACCAAACCACCTACTGCTCAGAAAGCAGAGGAGAAGAAAGCAGAGCAACTCCAGCAGGCCAAGGTCCCCCCATCAGTACAGGCCAAAGTGGACAAGCCCCAATCCGAGCCTCCAAAGGGAGCAGCATCCTCCCAACCAGCTCCCAAAGCAGGCCAGTCCACCTGTCCACTCTGTAAGGTGGAACTCAACAAGCGATCCAAGGACCCTCCCAACTACAACACCTGCACTGAATGCAAGAACACTGTCTGTAATCTCTGTGGATTTAACCCCATGACACATGAAACAGAGGTAAGACTGCGAAATATGTTCATTACATTTGATTATGTGTGTATTAAACAGACTCTCAGATTTGCTATGCATGTTTAAAAGGACTCTGTCAGAGAAAATACCAAATCCTCTGTGATCCCCAATACTATGTTGAGGAGGTGCAATTTCTCTTGGATTATTCAGAAGATGTTAACCCCATAGGCACGTGGCAGAGGCAATGACTGAAGGTTGATGGCAATTTGCTCACTAACCTGTTGTATTTTCCAGCCTCAGACTAGTTATGTTGCTTGTCTAGAGAAAACAGGTGTTATAGTTTTGAATGGCTTTCAGCTCAAATAAGGTACATTCTTTCCAGTCCAATATTTGATTCACATTTGCAACAGAGGTCTTTTATTGTCTTACATTGAATGCAGATGAGTCAGAGGTTGTAGCACATCATTGTTTGATATTGCTCCCTTTGCTTGTACTGTTATAACACGCTGGGCACAGACGTCAATTCAACATCTATCCCAAGTTGGTTCAAGGTCATTTCATTGAAATGACGTGGAAACAGCGTTGATTCAACCAGTGTGTGCCCAGTGGGAAGTGATTTGAGAGGCTGTAGTCTACTCAATCTCTTGTTTCCTGATACAGTGACTCAGGAACAGTGTAGGTCACTACAAGGCATTTGTGGTGATTTCATCTACTGATGTCTAATAATAACATGCCTGCTCAGACAGCTCACAGCAGGGCTAGGGCTGGCTCTCCGCTCTGTGAAGTCAACCTCCATTATAACAGCCCATAATCCACCCTGTGTTCTCAGTGCTGCTGTGTTTCACTCAATACTTTCTGGTAATGGGAGTCTAAAAGGATCAAGCTACAGGTAACTGCCAAAATAAAGGAAGCACTTGAGTAACTGAGGGATACAAAGTACACAAAAGTATGTGGACATCCCTTAAAAGTAGTGGATTTGGCTATTTCTAATCTCTATAGACAAACTTTGGCAGTAGAATGGCCTTACTGAAGAGCTCAGTGACTTTCAGCGTGGCACCGTCATAGGATGCCACCTTTCCAACAAGTCAGTTCATCAAATTTCTGCCCTGCTAGAGCTGCCCCGGTCAACTGTAAGTGCTGTTACTGTGAAGTGGAAACGTCTAGGAGCAACAACGGCTCAGCCGCAAAGTGGTAGGCCACACAAGTTCACAGAACGGGACTGCCAAGTGCTGTAGTGCGTAGCGAGTAAAAATTGTCTGTCCTTGGTTGCAACACTCACTATTGAGCTCCAAACTGCCTCTGGAAGTAACGTGAGCCCAAGAACTGTTGGTCTGGAGTTTCATGAAGTGGGTTTCCATGGCCGAGCAGCCGCACACAAGCCTAAGATCACCATGAGCAATGCCAAGTGTCGGCTGGAGTGGTGTAAAGCTTGCCGTCATTGGACTCTGGAGCAGTGGAAATGCGTTCTCTGGAGTGATGAATCACGCTTCACCATCTGGCAGTCCGACGGACGAATCTGGGTTTGGCGGATGCCAGGAGAACGCTACATGCCCCAATGAATAGTGCCAACTGTAAAGTTTGGTGGAGGAGAAATAATGCTCTGGGGCTGTTTGTCATGGTTCGGGCAAGGCCCCTTAGTTTCAGTGAAGGGAAATCTTTAATATTACAGCATACAATGACATTCTAGACGATTCTGTGCATCCAACTGTTGTGGCAACAGTTTGGAGAAGGCCCTTTCCTGTATCAGCATGACAATGCCCCCGTGCACAATGCGAGGTCCATACTGAAATGGTTTGTCGAGATAGGTGTGGAAAAACTTGACTGGCCTGCACAGAGCCCTGACATCGACCCAATTGAAGACCTTTGGGATGAATTGGAACGCCGACTGCGAGCCAGGCCTAATCGCCCAAAATCAGTGCCCGACCTCACTAATGCTCTTGTGGCTGAATGGAAGCAAGTCCCCGCAGCAATGTTCCAACATCTAGTGGAAAGCCTTCCCAGAAGAGTGGAGGATGTTATAGCAGCAAAGGGGGGGACCAACTCCATATTAATGCCCATGATTTTGGAATGAGATGTTTGACGAGCAGGTGTCCACATACTTTTGGTTCCTGAGCTAATTAAGCAATTAACATTCCATCATGCTTAGGGTCATGTATACAAATGCCCAGTTGCCCATTATTTTGTCTACCATGGCTAAAAGAAAGAGATATCAGTGACTTTGAAAGAGGGGTCACAAATGAGCATAGGGGGTTTAAAGTAACTGTCCAGTGTTTCCAGATTTCTATGAAATATGACCTATACTTACTTACAATATGAGCTAAATAGTTTTCCTTCCAAATTTGTTTTATTAAGTATGTTAAAAAACAGCTTTTCTGTGTTGGAATGGTGTGGGCGTACCCCAACAACAGAGTGGTGTGGGAATATACCATTCATAAAAAATATTAATGTGAGTAGACCGCTGACTGGCCAGCTAAACCTGCTCTAGACTGCTGATTGGCCAGCCCATCCTCCTCAGGAGTATGACATCATATTCTATGAAGAAATAGCAAACATTTTTTAAAGTTTAATGTGGGCTAAGTGTTTTTTCTCCAATTAATGCTTTGGCCATAAATACGAGTATAGGATAGTATAGTCAACAACATTATTTCGGTATGAGTTAACAGAATATTAACTTTTAAAAGTGAGATATGCTAAGTGATTGGCACCCGTTCCAGCCAATAATAGACCCTCCGGGGCAGAACAGTTTAGAGTTTACAAAATATAGCATTTTTACCTCCTGGACCTTGACATGTTTTGAGAGACTGAGATGGATTGCAAAGCATGAGACCTCTATAGATGAGAGACTGAAATGTGTGGAGAGAGATTGCCTGGAGAGCTGCCCAGATTATGCATTAGAACTGTGCAATGGCTCTATGTAACCTTTATGAATATAATTACTTTTTTGAGGGGCCTCAAACAGTATTAAAACCATACTCTAATGCACTCTGTGTCGGACAGCTGCCTGCCTCTTCCTGGGACATCCCTCTCATGGTAAGGTCTCAGTGGATGTGACATAATGGCTCATGCGAGGAGCGCCTCAACCTTGGCGGTCCAGCAGCAATAAAACTTTATTAAAGTGATTGAGAGTTGTGCAACAGCATTAGTGAGATGGGATCTGCTTCTGTGGCTGGCTGGGGACTTTCCATTCTCCATGAGAGATGGCAGGGCCCTGTAATATGCCAATGAGCAGAGGTGAGCTGGAATAATTCCAACACAACACAGCAGCCTGCAGCAGCACGTTTCCCATGCAGCCATCACTGGCTCTCTGTACTTCAACAGTTCTCTTTTTAAATTATATTGCTCAGAGCCCCACACATGCGTGTTGGCTGCTAATAGTGGTACGTGTGTTGACTTTCTGTCACCAACACACTGACGCGGGCTGGCTAAGGGCTGTAACGTTGGGTGCTGCTCTCACCTCGGTCACCTCTGGGTTAACTAAAGTAGGCTAGTGTTCATTAGGGAACTCCCCATTTCCAGGCAGGTAATGAAGAGTACTTCCATTACAGCTTCCATTACAGTGTTTCTCATTGGCTGTTTATTCTCAGGTGTGTGAGCATGCGATAGCCTATGTGATTGAATGACTGGGTCAAACCCCAACACTTAACATGAGTAAACATGACTAAAGTAATGAGGTATTATTTTTGATTCCTCATATTATATCCATATAATTTCAACAATGATAAACTACTCTCCTCATGAGAGTATAGCACTGCTCTGATGTCAGTGTTCATACTGTGAGCTAGCTAGCCGATTCACCAGGGTTCCAATGTAATAACTTGTCATTTCTCAGGCCTCTCTTAGTCACACAACTGGAGGCCTTTTCTAAAGGTCATCTTTTGATGCTAATGCCTTTATAATGAGATGGTGGGTTATTTGCACTAGCCTCAACAGGCAGGACCAAAATGCCACCAGATTAAACCTGAAAGCAGCTAGCATTTAATGGAAACTCAAAGTTACTGCTGCGTTATTTTTATTTATTTATGTAGCCCATTGAATATTTTTTTACAATGGTTGCATTTTAGATAATAGATAATCATCAATAATTGTCAGTATTTGTTGCAAGTGACGTACTGCATTAGCCACATACAGTATTAGTATTTGTGTGCTAGTTGGTAGCCTGTTCCCTCATGCCCCTGGATGTTGAATCTCACTAACAGGGCTATGATAGTAGACCTCTCTGTTGTGTCTGAGCTGTGATGCTGTGGAGATTTACAACAAGGCTCAGCCTAACTCACACGTCATAATGGAGGAATAATGCTTCATCTGATCGACTTTCCTCTTACATAATCGACTTTGCTCCTTGGGTCTTTCATGGAGAGCAGACCATTCAGCTTGAGGTGGCGGTTGGGAGAGGGGATACACGGACAATGCTTACTTAGTACATCATCAACCCACGTCTGTGTAAAGGCAGAGTGGCATAAATTGAAGGACGATGGCTGGGAATTTGTGTAACTGCAGGGGCAGCTGACATCCACATTGTCATACTGCATTGTGCTTTTCATGAGCTTCAGATCTTTCCCTGCTTTATAAATATATATATTTTTTGAATTGACAGAGATGCTGTCAACGCCTTTTTATTCTCTACAGAAGAGTAAAAAGCAGTGGTATGGTTGGAGAGGAGAGGAGAGGGGGAGGCGTGGGAAGTAGAGGGGGCAAATGCCAGCAGCAAGTCTGTCCATTTCCCCTCCTCTCTCTCTTTCTACTCCAGCTGATCTTCTCATAAGCCTGAGTGGATGTTTTCTGTTATGTAAGACACTGGTGTTCCCTCCCAGCTGTTTTCTATTGGACCACTACTGGCTGCCTAGTTAGAATGTTCCATACAGGGTAATAATGAGCAAAGAAGTATTGCTGGTTAGCAGTCTTATAGTTGCTACAGATGTGCTGGCACCACCAATAGCCTTTGTATAAAAGGACAATACTTTTTCTTTTCCGAAGGAAAAAGGGACTTCAAAAGATGTAAACAACAACAAAAATATGTCAGTCGTGGTATCGCGATTCATGGTCCACAGCTACCATCCATGATGAGAAATCACACACCTCATAATCTATAGGCCTAGCTGTAGGCATCAATCATCACACGCACATCCAAGGTTATGAAGCAAAGTTTTTAGCTTTAACTGTGGTACATTTTCTGTACTCTCTGCTAGGCCTGTGTAAATGTTGAAATGTGCTCCTCTGTAGGCCCTGCCCTGGCCCAGGCTGTTGCTGCGGTGATAAGGAGAAACCCCTTGGTGCACCGAGTGACGGTGTTAAAAATAGTCCCTCAGAGGCGAGACCAAACACAGCTTACCTACTCCCGCCTCCCTCCCTCCTTTCAACTCTTCTTCACAGGCTGTGTGTTTCACATGGTTCTAGCCAAGCTCTTTTATGTAGGGTTTTAACCATTGCAATTTTTTGCTGCGTGTTTGTCTCGAAGATCAAGACTTGCAATATTATTTTATTTTGACTTCTGAGGCTGTATGTTTCAAATGAGCAAGCTGATTTAAATGTGTGATCTTACTCATGTCTTGGAACAGGTCTTCCCTGTAAAATAAGGTCTATGTCAATGAGACTAACCTTGATAGGCCTACAGTTAGGGCTAAGTAGGATTTCAACACTGCTGTACTTTCCACCTCAATTGATTCAGACTAAAATCTCAGTTATTTGTAGGGCAGTTGATGGGTGTATTGTGCTTAGGAGCAGTTCCTAGCTGTGACGTGCAACCCTCAAGCTAAAATATTCCTTCAAAATGGGAGAGTGGTGCTGCTTGCTATTTTGACGGTGGGCTTGGCTGTCAGTCGGAGGAGAGGGAATAGAATCTCCCCCTAGAGACCTGTCCCCATTAATGCACTCATAGTGCATCTCTCTCTCTCTCTTTCTCTCTCCCTCTCTCTCTCTCTCTCTCTCTTTCTCTCTATCAATCTTCTCTATGTTTACCCCTCTCTCTCTCTGCTTCCATTCCTTTTCTCTCTCTCTCCCTCTCTCATTCTCCCCCTCTCTCCCTCTCTCCCTCTCTGTCTTCAAAGGAAAGTTTGTTGACGTGTCATCCGTCAGATTTGAGAGAGAAAGCAGGGCCTGGGCCCCTCGTCTTCAGAATGAAGCACTCTGCTTATTGCAGATTAGTGGGTCAACACGCTCTATTATCAGAGGGCCAGATTGATGAGGAGTGGGAGCACTGCGGGTGCTGCTGAAAGCACACTATATTAGCCAGCTACAGACGTTGCCAAAGGCAGCTGCCAGGAAATCAATAAGGAACCTACCAGCATGAGCTTCTGCAAGAATAGAGGTTCTCTGACAGCCTAAAATATATAGCTACTAACACAACCCATTGGCCTTTTATTCAATTCACCTCACAGATGGCATGATATCAGATGTAAATCTCCAGTATTTCTGTATGCATTTTACATTTTAGTCATTTAGCAGACGCTCTTATCCAGAGCAACTTACAGCTAGTGAGTGCATACATTTTCATACTGGCCCCCAGTGGGAAACGAACCCACAACCCTGGCGTTGCAAGCGCCATGCTCTACCAACTGAGCTACAGGGGCCTTGGTTGGCACACTGTGTGCTTGTGAACAGAATAACGCAACCAAGCTATTGATATTGTTGTGTTAATGCTGACAAGTTTAAGAAAATAGTATATGCTTGGTAACAGCAGCAGGGTGTTGGGGTTACAGGCTCTGATGTCACTGATGCTGTAAAGATTGTTGTCACACACTGTAAAATATGCAGAGGGGGCAAAACATAATTGTTTCAGCTGGTTGATTAATGGTCCAAGTTTGTTGGAGGTTTTCCCATACAGCTTTGTGTGTGTGTGTGTGGGGGGGGGGGGGGTGGTATAGAGTTGTGTGGCTTTTTCTCTGAGACGTGCCATCACATTGAATCTACATTGAACAGAAAAGTTTTTCCCATTTTTCATTTGCAAAGATAATCCATCCACTTGACAGGGGTGGCATATCAAGAAGCTGATTAAACAGCATGATCATTACACAGGTGCACCTTGTGCTGGGGACAATAAAAGGCCACTCTAAAATGTGCAGTTTTGTTACACAACACAATGCCACAGATGTCTCAAGTTTTGAGGGACGTGCAATTGGCATGCTGACTGCAGGAATGTCCATCAGAGCTGTTGCCAGAGAATTGAATGTTCATTTCTCTACCATAAGCCACCTCCAACGTCGTTTTATAGAATTTGGCAGTATGTTCAACCGGCCTCACAACCGCAGACCACGTGTATGACGTCTTGTGGGCGAGCGGTTTGCTGATGTCAACGTTGTGAACAGAGTGCCCTATGGTGGCGGTGGGGTTATGGTATGGGCAGGCGTAAGCCACGGGCAACAAACCAAATTATATTTTATCGATGGCAATTTGAATGCACAAAAATACCATGACGAGTCCCTGAGGCCCATTGTGAGGCCCATTTTTTAAAAACGTTATCTGTGACCAACAGATGTATATCTGTATTCCTAGTCATGTGAAATCCATAGATTAGGGCCTAATGAATGTATTACAATTGACTGATTTCCTCATATGAACTGTACCCCCATATAATCAATGAAATTGTTGCATGTTGCATTTATATTTTTGTTCAGTATAGAAGAATAAAAGAGAATGTGTTATTTAGTGTAGAGTTCAGCAGATACACGGTGGTGGTGTTATAGCTTCAGCTGGCATGGGGTCCATGTGTGTCAGCATAGCAGTTTCCTGAGAGCTGTCACTGTGAAGGCCTTGTGAATCCAGCTCTTGAGACTAATCACAGTCAATGCCTGCCTCCCCTGCTCCCCCTTCACAGCTCCCCTGCTTCCCCTGTTTTCAGCACAGAGCTCCTGCTCAAACATATTTAATTAAAGGAATTGATGATGGTAGGCCCAGGACTCAGAGGTCTCTGCTGGAGTGGAAATCTAGTAACAACCATATCATTACAAAGTTGACCTCTGGAAACATTGTGTCTTCGACTCTGACACACATGTAGCATGATCCTTCTAGACTTCCATTACTAGTATGTGTTGACATGATCTGCTGCCGAGGTGAAATGGTAGTTGAAAAGCATTACAACTTTACCTCATTTTACAGATACAAGTAATCTGTAATATATTGGAGGCTTCAGCTTGGACTGAGGCCAGCATGCCACCTGGAGAGATGTGGGAGACTGGTCCATATTTAGCCAGGGAGAGAGGAGAGGGACTGGAAGACAGGGTAATGTAGAGAGAGGAGAGGGACAGGGTAGTGTAGAGAGAGGAGAGGGACAGGGGGACAGGGTACTGCAGAGAGAGGAGAGGGACAGGGGGACAGGGTACTGCAGAGAGAGGAGAGGGACAGGGGGACAGGGTACTGCAGAGAGAGGAGAGGGACAGGGGGACAGGGTAATGTAGAGAGAGGAGAGGGACAGGGGGACAGGGTACTGCAGAGAGAGGAGAGGGACAGGGTAATGTAGAGAGAGGAGAGGGACAGGGGGACAGGGTACTGCAGAGAGAGGAGAGGGACAGGGGGACAGGATACTGCAGAGAGAGGAGAGGGACAGGGTAATGTAGAGAGAGGAGAGGGACAGGGGGACAGGATACTGCAGAGAGAGGAGAGGGATTTGTATACAGGGTAATGTAGATATGCTGTTCAGGTACACAGAGGCTTGGCTCAGCCCTCTGAGTGAGCTGTTGTTTCATCTTCCTCCACTATTTCCTTCTCCAACCCTCCCAAGTGTGTTCTGTCACAAAGCAACGGAAGGTTGAATGTTGAAGAAAACAGAAAATTGAACCTTGTCTGTTTTTAATGAATTATGCAAATGAGGTTGTGGTGTAGTTAATTTACAATCCAAGGACATTTCAATCTAAGATGTCATTTTGTGTGGGGGGGTAAAATGAGTAAGCATTACATGATGATTTCACCTTGAGTTTAATCATGTTGTTGGTGAAGACAGTGCTGTGGTAATTTAAAAGGGGAAGATACTATTTTAACGTGATGAGAGACAGTGATTCAGTGATGATTATGTTGTTATTTATGAGCCACTGATTTTCATGTAATCAAAAGAGCACAGTCAATTATCTTTATAAAATATATTATGAAATGTAACTGCTAGCTTCTCCATTCATATTCAGTGACAAGCTCCTCCATTGCCAGATATGAATTCAGCTACACTTACACATCAATAGGATAGCTCTTTCACAAGTGGTTGATTCATGCGTATTGCGTTAGTCTATTTCTATTAATAATTTCCTGCGTCACCCCAGCACCACTCTACCGGTCCTGTGTCTCTAATGAGGCCATTGTGTTGGCGTAAGAGGTGATCAGAGAACCAGGAAGTGTCAGAGCTTCTGATTAGCAATTAATCGCCTGATGGGTCCCACTGGTGACATGGCTCCTCTGATTAGCATATGTATGAGCTCGAAGCCGCTTGCTTGTTAGTGCTGATTACATCCTCACACAGACCAATGGAGGATGGAGAGAAGAGGGGAGGAGTGGAGTAGGGGGGTGCCATTCAGTGATGACTTAGACAGGATATTCAAACTGTCAGTTTAGTCTTTTAAACCATATTATGAGTTCTTAGTTTACAGATCTACAAAAAAGACTGATTATGATTGCTGTCTGAATACTTTGAGAGAAGGATGGTATGAAGATATGAAAATCCAGATACCGCCCAACCCTAGGCAGAGAGAACATTTAGCAATTCTAGAACAAATTTAATGCAATTCTATAAATTTTGCCATGGGACAGAGAGACATTATTGCAGTTTAAAAGCACGTTTCCTGCAGTTCTACACATTTTGCCATGGGCCGGAGAGCAAAATGTTGCAATTTTATAACAAATGTCATGCAATTCTACACATTTTGCCATGACCAAATTTTGAACTTGCACTTTGTGTATTCTACTATTCTAACTCTCAACAGTAAGTTGAGACCCCGAATGAGTTAAAAATATATATATTTGGTCGGGGGCCCCCTAAGCGACCGCTTATGTCGTTTATGCCTGGAGCCGGCCATGAGCTTGAGCTATTGTCTTGCAGTGAAGATGGCCACAACGTGAGGTCAGAAAGAGAGCATTTCCATTTAAGTATCTGACAAAAGCACCTAATGGATCTGCTGCTATCATAATTAACTGACCTTGCTCTGTGACCACGTGCTTTCTGAAGTATTGAATCGCTTTGTCACCCCTGTTTGGCTCAGGGATGAAATAGCCTACTGGTGGTTACAATGAGATTTTATGGTAACACTTGTAAACCCTTTATAAAGTATAAATCATGTTTTCTGATATTGGAGTGCATATGGAGCGATTAGGATATGTGGGTCATTCCACGAAATGAGTGCCCTTTGCGTCCCTTTGATATTTTAAGTAGACATTGTGCACCAATGTTGTATTTTAGAAGCCTGTTATATTAATTGAAGTGCATTAAATCTGGAGAATTCATTAAATCAGATTTTTGTACATGAATAAAGACTTGCTAAAGTGCCAAAATTCAGCATTTTTACACGTCCCTCCCGGCCCCTTCTGTGACTTCTAGGAAGATTTTAACCCACTAAATCCCAACATTTCTCAAAATGTTCACCATCATTGTAAAGCCCTACTTATTATTGTTGCTTTGACAAAGTCATTTCTGAAGATTGTTATTTATTTCATGTGATCAGTGATTCACTTACCTTTGTCCCTCATTTTAAGATCAACCCTGTTACATGAACTGAACTCTCGTTTAATGTGGTGAAACTATTCCTTTAAAAAAATAATCCTTCAAAATAAGCATTGAACATCTAATAGTCAAACCATAGAGTAAAAGCAGGTGAGCTGGTTCTACTCTTTTTGGCCATTTTCTGGTGTTTTGTGGTGGAAAAGTGAGTGGGTCGAACATAACATGTCAACCCTGTTACTCATACACAGCAAAAAGTCCAGTGTTGAATTTACTCCCACAGAGTTGATTTCAACACTTTTTGAGGGTTTATATAGGTCCACACTCTCCAGAGTTAAATTAACACTTTCAAAATAGTTAGACATTTAACACTCTGCCAGAGTTCCTTTTTTAACTAGCAAAACAGAGTTAAAGTAACACTAAGGGATTAGACAAGTAACACTGCTACAAGTTAATTTTTTAAAACTATTTGTGTAGTGTTAATTTCACTCCCTAAAGTGTAAATTATCTACACTGAAAAAATGTTAAAATTAATTGTTAATTTATTCAATATTATTTATTAATTAATTTTATATATACTTATATTAATAAGAATTAATCACAATAAACAATCATTGTCAAAAACATTTATTTTTGCAATTTCTCCCTTGCAGTCAGATGAATTAAAACATTGTGAATGAAGGTATAATGTACATACTGTCAGAAGGCGACGGTGAAATGCGGTAGGCGAAGTCAAACGCAGGACACAGAGCTTACTGGAAACGTACTTTACTTGAAAGTAACCAGAGAAGAAAACCATCTCCATACAAGGAGGAAAACAACCCGCTCACTAACACTGCCGAAGACGAATACAATGACACACAACACACAATGCACGACAGAGGGTTAAATAGGGAATACAATACAACATAATGGGGAACAGGTGTACACAATCAGGACAAAACAAGTCAAACACCGAAACATAGATCGGTGGCAGCTAGTACTCCGGCAAGGAGGAGCAGCCTCGGCTGATTCCGTGACAGTACCCCCCCCCCCCCCCCCCCCCCTTGACGGCCAGGAGGACGCAGAGCAGGGCGAGTCGGATGACTCCGGTGGACTTCCCTCAACATGGAGGGATCTAGAATGTCCCTCCTGGGGACCCAGCACCGTTCCTCCGGACCGTACCCCTCCCACTCCACGAGATACTGCAGGCCCCCCGTCCGACGCCTCGAATCCAAGATGGAACGGACTGAGTACGCCGGAGCCCCCTCGATGTCCAACGGGGGCGGAGGAGCCTCTCGTACCTCATTCTCCTGGAGTGGACCAGCCACCACCGGCCTGAGGAGAGACACATGGAACGAGGGGTTAATGCGATAATTAATGGGCAGTTGTAACCTATAACATACCTCGTTCAATCTCCTCAGGACTTTAAAGGGCCCCACAAACCGCCGACCCAGCTTCCGGCAGGGCAGGCGAAGGGGCAGGTTTCGGGTCGAGAGCCAGACCCGGTCTCCTGGTGCATACACCGGTGGCGATCAGCGCTCGCCTTTTGCCGCCTGATGGCACGCTGCAGATGGACATGCGGAGCGTTCCAAGTCTCCTCCGAGCGCCGAAACCACTCGTCCACCGCAGGGGCTTCGGTCTGGCTCTGATGCCAAGGTGCCAGAACCGGCTGATAACCTAACACACACTGGAAAGGCGTAAGGTTAGTGGACGAATGGCGGAGGGAGTTTTGGGCTATCTCTGCCCAGGGAATATATCCCGACCACTCCTCTTGCCGGTCCTGGCAATATGACCTCAGAAACCTACCCACATCCTGGTTAACTCTCTCCACCTGCCCATTACTTTCGGGGTGAAAACCTGAGGTAAGGCTAATCGAGACCCCCAGACGTTCCATAAATGCCCTCCAGACTCTAGAGGTGAACTGGGGACCCCGATCAGACACTATATCCTCAGGCACCCCATAGTGCCGGAAGACGTGTGTAAACAGGGCCTCAGCAGTTTGTAGGGCAGTAGGGAGACCTGGCAGGGGAATGAGACGGCAGGCTTTAGAAAACCGATCCACAACGACCAAGATCGTAGTGTTCCCCTGGGAGGGGGGAAGGTCCGTGACAAAATCCACCGATAGGTGAGACCACGGCCGTTGTGGAACGGGTAGGGGTTGTAACTTCCCCCTGGGCAGGTGTCTAGGTGCCTTACACTGGGCGCACACCGAGCAGGAGGAAACATAAACCCTCACGTCCTTAGCTA